TCCCGGGCCCACCGCCCCCCGCCGCCACTCCCCTCGCCGTAGCCAATGGGCAGAGCGCGGCCCGGGCGGCGGGGCCCGGGCAGGGCCGGGCCGGGCCGGAGCGTCCTTGCCCGGGCCCCGCCCTGCCTGTTACTTCAGGGATTAAACTCCTAAAACGAGGAGAAAAACAAAGAAAAACCCCAAATAAAACAACCCCAGCTCTTTCCAGTTACAGATCGGGCCGCAACTGCGCGCCCCGTTGGTCCCCGCGGCCCTCGGTGCAAGGTAATTCTTTTAAAGAACTCTTTGGGAAAAAAAAAAAAAATTAAAAAAAAAATCACGGGCAGGGTTACACACTTGTGCAACCCAGAAAAACCCTTGGCCTTCTTAGCAAAATGCTTTGTCATTAAATACAGAGATGCTACGGGTGGAGATTTATTTTTTTTGTAAATCTTGTCAGAAAGCTTTGCCATTTTCCAGCATCCCAGTTTTAAGTAAAGCTACAGCATGAAGGCTCCGGGGAGACCTCACAGCAGTGTTCCAGTATCTGAAGGGAGCCTACAGGAGAGCTGAGAGGGACTCTTTGTTGGGAAGTGTAGTGACAGGACAAGGGGTAATGGTTTTAAAGTGGAAGAGGGGAGATTTAGATTAGATATTAGGAAGAAATTCTTTACTGTGAGGGTGGTGAGACACTGGAACAGGTTGCCCAGAGAAGCTGTGGATGCCCCATCCCTGGAAGTGTTCAAGGCCAGGCTGGATGGGGCTTTGAGCAACCTGCTCTAGTGGGAGGTGTCCCTGCCCAGGGCAAGGGGGGTTGGAACTAAATGATCTTTAAGGTCCCTTCCAGCCCAAACCATTTTATGATTCTGTGATTTACAGAGAGGTAACACTGGGAGGTCAGATAGCAAATAAATTAAGCCCAACCCCCCCCAGGCAGCAGCAGAGCCCCTCTGAGCACAGGGCTGCCTGTGCACATCCCAGTGCCGCAGCCACATCCAGCCCACACTCCCTACTACACCTGCGAGCAGTTAGAAATGGCAGCTGATATTCCAAAAAACGGAAACGCAGGTAATATAAAATAATTTATTCACATAATTTACATATAGAATATGACTACTTTCTTTGAAACAGAAAGCTTATACGCGATGATACAGGGTGCCGGACAACTCTTAAGCAAAGCAGTCTTATGCCGCATCTTTGTAAAAACGCTAAACTAACAGGCCTTGAGATTTCACCTATCTTTTCTTACATCCTTCACCATTATAAAACTTTCATACACAAAACAGAACACAAAGTTGTCTTGTCTCTATCCAAATTAAATTTGCTCGTTAAAAAAAAGTCGTCTAACAAAGTGCATGTGATTTACTGCAGGGAAAAAATGTGTAGCCCCAATTAACAAGGTAGATAAGGCACCTTAAATCTTAATAATGAAATAGTTGGGTGGTTTTTTTCACTTGTAATATGAATGCAAGCTAAAATGTATGCAACTAATTGCAGAATGGTTATTGCCTCAGAAAATACTTAGGGCAATTATTTTATAGCCACTCCCCACAAATCTGTTTTTAGGCTCTATCAGTGCAAGTGATTTAAACATGCCATGTGTATCAGGAACTAAACACTTGCATACATAAAATAGTATCTACAAGATAAACAATGCATGGAGCTTTATGTATAGGTTAATCTATTTCATAAGGTTTACGGTAAGACAATATTTAGATAAACATTTCAAGTTAAATGGATTAGGCAAAGCACTAATCAGAAACTGCTGTTGGTGATGGGATTTCGGAGGGGTTCTGGGGGAAAGGGGAGCTGACAGAATGCTTTCAAGTTACTTGACACTGGGACTGTTGGTCCCTTAACATCACCTCAAGAAGATGCTGCTGCTAGCGACATTTTGATTGACAGAGGGCTGCTAACATAGCAATTTGCAGTAACAGTAGCTTTTAAGTGTATTTTTCCTTATTGACAAAATTTTAAAGGCTCCTTCAGAAGCCTTGCCAATAGCTTCTGAAAAGGCAAACATTCTCAAGCTGCATCGAGTATTTCAAAATTAACTAGATACTTATATGAAAATATTTGCCAGTAAATGATTATCCAAGTCCAAAGCTAAGACAGATTTCTTGAGAGCATAACAGTATCATTTAAACATCAGTTTCACTTTCATAATAAATAATTTGTTTTGCAAAAGTACCTGATGGAATTAAGTAACAGGAGAAAAATTTAGAGTACTTAAATCTACACAGTCATTTTTGTGTAATAAGGAGTTTCAGAATAAATATTGAATCTTTCTGTGACCACCTGGCTCTGAGACTGTGTGAACTTTGTTACCTCATCAAGACAATCTTCTTGATCAGGCACATAAAAAATTAGACTAAAATCTAAAGCTACACCAGCATTTTATAGCGAGTTACAGTACAAGTAGACATGCAACATGAGGAAAACAATTAAAATTCAGCTGCTTCAAAGTAGCAAATCCCCCAAGCAACCACATTGTATAGTCATGGTTTAAAAATTCAGTCTCTTTGTGCTACTTTGCACCAGGAAAACCACAGAAGTCAGCAGAGATACAAACATCTACATGTAAAACCAAAGAAAAGAAATGGTACATATCCCCTTGTTTTCAAATTTAAAAGGAAATTAGCATTTGCACTAGTAAACATTAACCTCTTCCTCCTACTTCAATAAGACAGTTGTAAAGATTAACACTGTGTAGCATCTTTTAGTAAATTGTGTTTTTTCAGTTGTTCTCAATACATTTTTAAGGAACTTTTCAGGCTAGGATCTTTTAATTTTTGTAATCAAAAGCTCTTACAAAAATATGTCATTTGGAGATGCTAATACAAATACCTGCAGCACTGAACATAGCTATGTATTTACTACATTACTTCCAGTATTTGTGTTCCTATCTACAGAGATTACATAAAAGGTTCATTCCTCCTACTAACACACTGATGTAACATACTTCACAAAAAGAAGTAAAGAACTTGTATAACCTGTACCACAAGCCTTAGCATTAAAATTCAAAAGGATACTTGTCACAAGATTAAGCATTTTTTCATTGCACTTTTCTGTAAGATAGTCACGCATCCATTATCGGCACCTAAACAAGGAAACTATAAGCCAGCAGCTGCTCATCTGGTCCAGTGACATCCATGTAGCGGTTCAGATGTCAACATTTTAAAAGTATCCAGGTCACTTCAGAAGGAATCTGTTTCATCTTTATGGAATTTATTAACAACAGCTTGGCTGATAGTAAATGTCGCATAATGAACATCAGAAAAAATCAGAACTTTTAAAAAATACTCTTCTTCCTTTGTTGCACTATACTGTCAGATCCCAGTTTTTTTATAAAGCCAATTTGCTATTCTGAATCATCCACTTCCATAAATATGTCACTGAAAAAATACTCAGAGATTCTGGTTGGCTCCTCTTCCTTCTCTTGATCTTCAACACAAAGGGGTGGCTTCTCCAGTGGCTCAGTACTTGCAACCTAATAGAAAAAGAAAAGGCTGCTCATTGTCTCAAGTCTCAAACAAGAAAGCCTCAACTTGTTTCTTTGTATATGTGTATGTGTGTATGTGTGTATATATATATATGCACTTCTGCTTCCAATTTAGATAAGTTAAGACAAAAAAATCAGTTTACTGAAAATGGGAAACAAATAGATACAAGTGCAGAGAAAAAACAGTTTAGTTCCCTTATCAGTTTCCTAGACATGTACAAGTCAGGAGTTATTTGCTGGAGCAGTGACATCTCTCAAAACATGAGCGCTATATGCCCACTCCTGAAACAACTACCTCATTGTTCTTCACATCTCAAAAACTGAAGGGCATTCAGAAGTAAACACATACCGTAACTGCAGCATCAGCAGCTACATTCTTATACTCCACGGATGATGGTGTGCTTGTAGAAGGAAGGGAACAAGATTTCCCATCATCTTTAGTGGATGGAGGGGGCTTTTTCAGACTTCGCTTTGGAGTCACAATCCGAGGCTTTTGGATCTTCCCTCTATTCCCTTTGGTATCTTCTGCAGATTCAGAGCTACTTTTTTTGCAAATTAAAGATAAAAATCCCAATGGTTTTCGTCCACCCCTGTTCAAAACAAATACAGTCCAGATGTCATAGATTTGCTCCACAAAGGAAGATGTAAATTATATTACAGCAGTCCAATTCATTACACTGGAAACAAACACACTCCTCCAAGATCTATGAAAATTCTAACCAAAAAAAAAAAAAAAAAAAGAAAAAAAAAAACCAAAACAGCGAATGTTTTAAAAAATATTCTGCTGCAGAATTCGTAGTGTACAAACACGTCTATGAGGCTCCTCGCTCCATAAACAGCCTCAATGAAGTTTAGTGACAAATATTAAAAATATTGGTCATTTCCCTTCAAATAACATTCCCAAGACACTTATAAAAAAAAAAAAAAAAAAAAAAAAGAGAAAGGCTTTTGTATTATTCAATATTCTGGCACAAGAGTTTTTCAAAGAGTTACAGAGACTCTTGACAATCTCCAACTCTGAGAACAGGAACCTACTATTTTCTACTAAACCAGAGCCTGTAAAAAGCTAGCATTATCTTCACAAAGAGATCTGTCTCTTTGTATTATTCCAAGAAGAACAGATACATACTCCTAAAGAATGAACTGAAAAGAACATCCTCCATGTAATCAATGGAAAAAGAAATGTCATTCCCAAGAATGGGGTCACAGAAGACACAGAAAGAAGGCTATCTGTTGCAGGGTTTCAGCCTGTTAACAGTGTCACACCTAGTACCACTGAAGTTATAGAAGTCAAAGGGATGAGGGAGGTACAGAGAGTATCAACTTTTCATGTTAAGAGTTTACAATTTAGAAAGTAAACTTTAAGGCAAGGATTCTGATGTTAATGCATCATTACCCAATTGCTGTGGGTGGCCCAGGTACAAATAACCAGTTTTGGTACTCAGACAAGCATAATGAAAGAGGAGACAAGAGGATCAGAAGAGATCAGCAGGACACACAATCAAAATCAGTGCGTGCAAGAACAATAGAGACCAGGAACTCAAGCACTTAAACTTTATAGAGAGGTATACTAAAAAAATCCACAGTCAGATGGATAGATAAGAGGAATATCCTCTGAGCTGTCAAGACTGAAACTCCTTTAGGGAAATGACATATCTTAAGTTAGTCCTAAAAATCCAGTGTGCTGCGTACTATACCAGTACCAAATCTTATTGGCAGAAGGACAAAAATCAAAACAAGTGGATGGATGTATATATCACAACATTAGACTGACTAAGGAAAACGACAATTACCCTAAATCTGTATCATAGCCAACAGATATCTGTCTCACAAGAGGCATCTATCAGTGTCTAAACAGACACATCATACATCAGTAGTGTCTCTTGGTCAATCTGCTCATGTAATGAATAATATAATTCAAATTTCAAAACAGACAGTTTGATCCTTTCTAATTTGCTGAAGAGGACAGATGCTGTAACTTTGAGCCATGCAGGGCTCAAACAATGGTACTGCCCTTCTTGTAATACTAAGTGGAAAGAGGATATAAAACACTCAATATGGAAACAAGGTCTTTTTTACAGGAAAGGCTGACAGAATGTTATTGCGTAAATACCTGAGTAATGGAGTTTTTGCAGATGATGCCAGGCTTCCAGTAAGTTCCAATTGTCCAGATTCATGCGCATCCCCCTGTTTTCCTTGTCCACTTATTTCTGCTTTGCTATTAGAGGTTAATCTGGGCATCACCTCCTCTTCCTGTTCGGTTGCCAAATTCTCAAGTGGTGCTTTCCCTAAGTTCTCCAAAGTCTCAAGCTGGATTCTCTCAGCAAGTGGTGACAAAGACGCAGACACCAACTTGGAGGCTGAAGCCTCTGTTTTTTGGAAAGGATTCTCTGTAAAAGGAGTTGTGAGTTATTCAAGGACTTGTTACTTCAGTGATAACACAACAGCCCAAAAGATGCATGTGATGTTAAGATGACTTGCACCATTACAAAGGAAGGGCTGAAATTTTGTTCATTTTTCTTTTGTCATTTTATTTTTTGAGGTCATCACTAAGAATTGGAAGTTCACAGTCTACTTTTAAAGTCTGTAAGATCTTAACACGTTATGGGGGAAAGCTGGAAAAGCTAGTAGAAGTGTGAGTTTTACTGCACAACCATCCCCATCCTTTACAGCACACTACAGAACTTAGTCAAATCATTTAGCTATTTAAACTTCCACCATTTCCTTTTAAAGTCATTTTCAGGGCCGAAAAGTAGCTCTCCAAACCCTTCACAGGCTCAGATCGCTGAAGACTGTGTTGTCAGCAACTCTACTTTCCCTCTGATTGTTCAGAGGCAAATTAAGTTTTCAGTCAATTACACTGTGCATGTGTTTTTTTAAAAGAGAAATACAAAATAAATAAAAAAAATTGTGCATAGTATGGTCAAAGTACAAATTCATACCTTTGGTTACTACTGCTCTCTAACAGGTAGAAATATTTGCTTAAGAAAAGGTATTATGTTTAGTCCAAAAAACCTCCCAAATTTCATAAATAGACTAGCTATACCAATGTTTTTAGGCCCGTTATCAAATTAACAGGCAGTTATGTAACCCAACACATTCAGCTTATAGCAGAAAACATGGAACAGTGGTACTAGGCTACTACTGGGAAACTGTTTCTACTTTTTTGTCACATAGCCTCAGACAGGACTATAAAGGACGACAACAAGTATTGGTGTATCATGCATTTACATTCATTATACTTTGTTTTACAAGTTAAAGTTTACCTACCAGAAGCTACCACTGGATCATTTGTGGATTTAATTGAATAAACCTGCATTTAGAACAGAAAGAAAAAAAGAAGTTATTTCTTTATTTCTCTCAATATAGAAGAGATAATGAAAGTTGATAAAGACATATCATGCATGTACACGTCTAAGAACACTCAGTGATACATCTTCAGTACAGTATTATTCATCACTTAACTCATTTCCTTAGCAGGCTTCTCAAGGTGTTCTTATGGCAAATGACTCAAGGATGTCAACATGAGAGGTCAAAGAAGAGAACTGTTATCCAAACCTTCCTAGAAAAGCTCTCTGAATCATGTGGGGAATTACCACCCATTCCCTCACCCGGACACACTACACAATCTTAGCCTACTCACAGAAATGAATGGTAGTCACTGCCACAAGCTTGATCACATTCTAAAAGCACAGACGGAAGCTGGAAACATGCTGGGCAGTTTTAATTTGCAGCTTGTTCTTTTAAACTACTACCTGCTATGTTAAAAAACTGTATGAATATCTCTAACAACTTCTTTGTGTAACAGACACCATGAGGAATCATAACATCGTTCAGTGACCCTAGACAGTCTGCCAGTCATCCAGTATACAGCCAGAGTTTTCCCTCCCACAATGTCACTGCCAGAAACGCTGGGGTGCATGAACCAAATAAGACATATTACCAGTCTGCCTACTAGGAAGCCTAATAAGAAAAACACTAAGAGCCTACAGATTGTCAAAAAAAATTAATACTAAATCAACAGCCCAAAAATTTTTGTAGAACTCTAAATAAAAAGCAATCTATGGGTGTTGATTTTCTTTGTAAGTTGTACAGGCTGTATGTTTTTAAGCAATTGACACTGCTAAACAATAAATGTAATTAAAATGCTCTATTACATGTTATGCATCTACACTATGCATAAAGACTCACTTACCAAACTACCATCTCACCTTATAAGTGGTTTCCAAGTTACCTTCTGCTACAACATCAGACCGAGTTTTCTTGGCAGGAGGAGAATAATTTTCTTCAAGCTCAGCAGCTGATCTTTTTTGAGTTGTCTGCAAATTTGGAATGGGCTCTAATGATGCACTCTCTAGTTGTTTGGTTTCCATACTGCTGTTTAAAGGTGCAGCAAATTCTTCAGCTGCAGTTGTCAAGGATCCAATACTGTTTATATATAAAGTCATTATTGTGATACTACAAGAGGCCAAAATTTACTTTGTATAACATTTCTGTATGGAAATTACACATGGATCTATCGTGATACTCTTTCTTACTTAACATCAATATTAACTTCAAATGTACTGTTTACTACCAAGAAACATTTTGCTGTGCAATCTTAAGTCAGATAATTGAGATTTTATAGTCATAATTGAATCTAGTTACTTTAGAAACAGTTCTATTTGAACGCCAGTTGATATTTTCATAAAATATAAAAATATGTCAACTGATTAGCTGCCCTAGAAAATCCTAAAATACAGTATTATTTATACACACAACTGGCTCTCCATCTCCACATCCTCACGCCCTTCCACCCCCACAGTATGATCTCAAAAGACAGCATGACATCTAGGGAAGCATCAGAGACTCGGAAAATAGGGCAAAGCAGTACAGGACAGCAAGACAGAAGATGTACCCTAACTCTGCCTGTCAGCAGTTCTGTCTACCATCAGTGGTTCCACAAGAGTTAGAATTCTTACATTGTGTAGCCAAAATTAACCCAAAGACCTATCCTTTCAACAGCTAAGGGAATGACATTAAGATCTGATGTCACAGGGCAAGGTCCTCCACAGTGCTGTGGAATTGCATCACACCTCTAGTTATGATCTGAGGACTTACATTAATATAGTAATATTTTTTTCACAACTTTGCAACACTTCCTATTCTTCAGAATGTCTTTTTCCTTTGATTGTTGGTTTTTTTCATTAAATGAATTAGTTTTCATTCAAAGTGTCCATGGCAGAATAGACTCAGGCTGGACAAATGACTTCTACTAAAAAGGAAGAGTTGCTCTAAAGGATAAATCAGAATTAAAGTTGACACCAAAATCTCAGCTACTAAAACTAACTTTAAACCACTAATGAGATCTTTCTCAAATCTGATTAGAGCACTTTTAACTTTCTAGGTTCTCTGACCGGTCTGCCAAAATTACTTCCTCCTGCATTTCTTCGTTTGAGAAATTGTAATCTGTAATGCATACTCAGGGAACAATCAAGGTTCACACAAAGTGTTTCACTTTGCTAAAAAACAAAGCATTTACCTCTCCACTTCAGTCACGCTTGTTTCACTTGTATTTATTGGGCTGATAAGTATTGGGGCTGGTAGTAACGGCTGTGAAGTTTGTTCCAGCAAAGCAGACGCATCAAAATCTTTTGAGTCAGCTGGGATTTCCACCAACGTTAAAATGAACGTCTGTTCTTCCTCTGGACATCTATGTTCATTGTTCACTAGTATAATTTTTTTCAGGGAAATAAAGAAATAACAAAACTTTATTAGTCAAGTTTGAAATTACACTGTTCTCTTCATGCCCTTCCCACCTTAAGTAATTGTATTTTAGGCACTCATTTCTCCATGGAAAAAGGCATTGAGGATATTCTTGAGACAATATGCTTCCTTGCATCTTAGATGAGATACGCATCGTCACCCCCTGGAGCCTATTCACTGCAGTGGAGTCCTGATTACCATTCAGAATGAAGAATATTAAAAATGCCTAGTAGCGATGGAGCTTTCTAAATGGGTGCTCTAGCATTAAAGAACAATTTGCAGTTTAATAATCTTGTGTAGTTGTGGCCAAATGGTCCTCTGTTTTTAATTGCAACTGTCAGGTAATATGAGGTACTTTAAATGGCAGAAGTCTACTGTTTTGATGGCAAACACAAGGATTTTTCCCCTCACTGTGGACTTGCAGAAGAGACCTGAGAAGAATATAAATAATTTAGTCAACAGACAGACATGAACAGATAACTGCCAACTGCTATCCATTAGAATGAATTTAAGGAGAGAACATTTGTAAAGTTTTCAAAAGATGGAAAACAACAGTGCTGCTCCATTGCTCTCATTCTTGATGAAATAAAGCTGCTGTTATTCCAACCTCAACTCACGGGGGTTCTTTATCTAATTAAAGATGATTTAAGATGCTCTGTCCCAAGATCCTTGCAATAACAGAGCATAACAACAGACATCTAAGAAATATTAGCCCTATCTTTTGCACATGCTCAGGAGTTACAACTTTGGACTGCAGTTTCCATGTGAAGTAAGTATTCTTGGCTTCTGACACAGTGATTTTCCTGTACCTGAGACAAGTATTGGTTCCAAATCAGCTCCAGTTCAATTTGTTGTAGGGAAAAGCAGCCATCACCCTCAAACGCTTCATCACATCAAATCAGTTAGGTGTTAATCTGCTGACTCACTACAGCTAAAGAGGGAAGTCTGGTTGTTTTCTTCCCTTCCACTCTTCTCCTTTCTGCCCTGCGCCATACTTGCACAGTCCAGCCCTCTTACTCACACGACTCTGACACTGGCATTCACTTGACACCTTCATGAGCCCCTATAGCTCAACTAAGCCAGTGGAAAACCACACAGGTTCTCTCCCTTTGTCACATTCAATTTTTGATGAATAAATGAGTCAGAAACTCATAAAAGGCTCTAACAACTGCTAAATATAGCACCAGGTAAACAGCAGAAGCTCACAGTGGGGAGGAGAGAGCAAGAAGTTTCCCTTCCACTGATATGTAAACTTAATGAAGCGCCATTCAAAAAGTTCCCAAGTCTAGTTTCTCTTAATGAAATGTAATGTTAGGGAGGGGAATGGCACTGCGCTGTGGGTCATTATTTTTGTTAATGAAATAGACTGATTAATTGTGTCAATGAAAGCATTTTAATTTTTTTTTTATTCATCTTTGTGTAACTGCAAGATTCAAAACTGTGGACTTTTGCTAACTTAAGAGTACTAGCACACCATACCTGAAGTCTCTTCTGTGCTGCTGACACATTGCTGTTGAGAATCCTGGGCATAAGCTTCCTTCTAGAAATAACACATTTGAAATAAAACAAGTTAATAAATCCAATAAATAACTATAGAAAACAGGGAAGAAACAAAGCAAAGAGCCAAAAAATCTAATCACATCATTATAATTGCATTTTGTCAGCTTCTACTTCTAGTTATCCTAAGTTAAACACTTGGGCAATATAAAATTTATATGCAGCTCATTGCCTGTATTGATGGTTTGTCAAAATAAATTTATACTTCCTACAGCACAACTCTGTCAGAGATGACTCATGTAATAAATTGCTCAGTGGCACTAAGAACACAAATTCCTCCTACCATTACAAACCCACAGAGTGCCAAAGAAAAACAAACTCTACAACTCACCTCTCCCTTCCCTTTTATGTATGGCATGTACCTTTGCTAAAACCAGGAATACTCTCCACTGCAAGTTGCCTGTTCTCATACTCTCTGCCAGTCCTGTAAGAGTCAAATCCTTCTTCTACCTTGTTCTAACATGAGATCAGCCTTGACACATCAACAGGTTGCACTGGGGAAACAAGCTACTACCCCTCAGCTGTTCAACTGTAACTGCAAGTATATTGATCTCAGGCAACACTAGAAAACCTGAGGAAACTCAGAATGAACCTTTCTCCCATGAAGAAATAAGATACCCAAACCACTGCAAAGAAATGGATGTGAAAGACACTCTTTGGCCCTGATAATATACATGTAAACCACTTTATTGGGTTTTGAAAATAGGAAACAGTATAGCAAAGGAAGAAGTTTGTTTTAAACAAAGGAAATGAAGATGACAATGAAATTGCTGTGCCCGGCAGTGACATTTTAATTTAATTTCAATTTAAACAGATATAACAGTACGAAGTCAGACTGAGTAAATACACGAATCCTAGGTAACTTCTTCCATCAAAACTCTTTAAAAACAATGTTCAAATTATCTCTTATTGCTGAAATGCTATAAACTGATGCTTGCAAAGATTAAGCTTGTCTGAAGATGAGGTTTGGTTATACCTTTGCAAAAAAGAAAGTTTTGTTCACCAGCTGAAGTACCAGGTCTTTAAAATGGCTGAGTACTTTCACACTGAAACCCTTTTCCTTTACAGAGTTTCAGAAACTGGGCACTAAATTAAGATCTTTACCTGAGTGAAGTTCATTGTGCATCTATTGTCCTCAGGAAGACAAGGATTTTGCTCAGGAAGTCCATCCACAGAACTTTGACTTGGATAATCCTCTAGTCCAATGTGAGATTTTTCAGACTTTGGTGATGCAGTTACAGGTCTTAAATCCTCTGAATTTCCACAAGGATTTTTCATCTCTGTTCTGTAAGATATATATCTAGTTAATTTGAAATGAAATGAAGATACCTGTGCATGGCGTAAGTTCTGTATAATTATTTACTTAATATGAAGCTTATGTAGTGACAGAGAAACAGGGCATCTATTTAGAAAATACATCAGTCTACTAAGGAAAATGCATAACCTTTGAACAAGTCTACACAAAGCATTTCAGCAAAAAGCCTCCCCAACACCACTAATTGAGACTTTACTACTAAAAGCATGACCAAGCAGGAAGCCTTACAAGCTCGTTAACATTTCCAAATTGATCGACTCCTTAACATTTCCTTTCAGATGCAGTTTCATGGGAGACAACTAAGAAGCAAGGTAATTACTAAGTTCTGAAACAGCAAACATAAGTTAACTTTTTACCTCCAAAAGCTGTAGGACAACATGCAACAGAGAAAAATATTAAAAATAAGTCTAAACGGTACACATATGTGTGTAAACACATACAATGTCTGTAAGCACACTGCTTCCATCAAAGACACATACTACACATGCACATCAGCTACATATTTTAAAAGACTTTAGGAATAATGTCAATATTAATTGATGATTCTTCCTACCTCTCAGTTTTGTCTACTTGCTTGATAACTTCCATACTTGTAGTTGCAAAGTCATAAAGAACTGAAGAACCACCTGCAGCTGGTCTGAACTGTTCTAGTTCCACCTTTTGCATTTCTGCAGCATCTCTCTGAGTTGTAGACTCTAAGATATGTAAGAATAAAAATTAACATATTTTTTTCTGTATGTGTATGGGTGTATATGTACGCATATTATTTTTACATATAAGCATTTGTACATGGAGATGCATATACGTGGAGAAGCGTATAGATAAACACACAACAAAATTTCTAATGATTTTGCTGTATACATGTCTTATATCTCATCTTGCCTTTGGTATGTTGTACATTTTGCCAGTGACATGAAGATAATTCAGAATTTGAAGACCACGCCTTTTGGAACTATTTTAAGAATACCAAAACCAGTTCTGTATATCTACCCTTCTGGTTTTAATAGGAGGGTAAGACAGTAATAACAGAAAAATGTACACTGTATTGCACTGTATTTCTGCAATAGGCAGTCCAGTAATTTAAGGGCTTTCCAGGTAATTTAAGACCTGCACAGAAAAGTCTGCTATTGAGATTTCATTTAATTTTATGCCAAAAGGTATACCTATGTATAAAACTATACCATAAATGAATGCCGTACATTACAGTGGTGATGCATCATTTGTGAACATGAACAGAAACTGAAGACTTCTTTCAACTTAGTTTCATTTCATAGAGAGATGCGAATCCATGAGAAGAAATCGTTTTTCAGAACCCTAGGATAGGAAACAGGCTTACCAGTTTGAACTTGCTCCAGTTGTTCCACAGGTACATTGGCATTAACTGACTTTTGAATTATGTTTTCATTGGCCCTCAATACTCCAAGGTCTGGCTCAGACTCCAGGTGTCTGCCTCTTGTCAGTCTATTCACTGTAAGCAAAGAGCTATCACTGCAAGTAAAAAGGAAAAATGCCATCAATATACCTCTTGATTTTTGACAGTTAATTGTGAGATGAAATTAGTATTTCCAGCAAAAATCGCTGTGCAGAGAAGAGGTAAGAGAGATAGAGAAGATGAGATGATGAAGAGATGAAATACAGGCTGCATCTGGCAGAGGAAACAGAAGACTACCTGGAAGAACAAAAATAAAGATCATCTGGGAATCACAACAGAAACATCCTGTGTGAGGATGTTCTCAACCTACAGAAAAAAATGAATAATTGAAATATTTAAAGAACACAAGAAGATCAGAAATCTAACACTGATGACGTGGCAGTAAATTCTAATTAAGAATATAATAGAAGAACCACTGGAGTTAAAGTAAAATATCTTTGATTATAATTTTTCAGGGGAGTATAATCTGATAGTTTATCCAAGCAATCAACAAGTTAAATAGTCTTTCAAATAATAAAACTGAACACCAGCAGATTTTTCCTGAGGTGTTCATCAAGCTGTTTCAACATTCACAAATGTTTGAACAAAACTAAAAAACGTAATGCATTAAAAACCATAATGATAGATGATCAACTGGTTGCTCAACATCCCTTTGCCTAAATCAGTGATCTAGATCCCACAGCAGCAGTGACACTTAAGCAATTTGCCTTGGCCTGATTAGCTGCAAAGTACTTTGGGAAAATGAGCTTGGTAATTAAAAGGATCCGTACCACCTAACTTTGAATATTCCTTTCTCCCCCACCAGGGTAAACTTAACTTCAGGAGTGAAGAACAAGTTCCACATTCCCAAAATTATATACCAGTATCTCAAAAAAGCAATAAGAAAAAGACAAGAGGGGTTTTCCAGATTACATACCAAACTACATAATCTGAGAAACCTTTGCTAAAGCAAGAGTGCTTGCAATTCAATAAAAACGCCAGAAAGAACCTAGCAAAAGTAAGCAGTGTCAGAGGATCTCTCTCCCTAAAGAAAAATGAAGTAGTCATTTAACCTGGTATCTGTAGCACTTTTCTCAAAATATTCTTCAACACCTATTCTTGTGTCAGTGCTTTGATCCTCTACATTAATGTTGCTTCCATCCTCAGACAGGACCACTTCCTTGGCAGAAGTGTCTGAAGAAAGTAAGTACTGACTTGGAGTTGTATTTTGTTTGGAGTAGGTGTGGGTTACAAGGCTATTTGCCATGTCCAACTCATCTTGAGCAGGTAACACGTGTGTCCATTCTGGTTAAAACAATAAACAGAATAGAAAAGCATAATTTAGAAAACTCAGGTTGGGCACATACTTAAAGCTATTTTACAGATGTTCAAATTCAAACCTCATTTAACAAAGTCTGCATTCTCCAAAAGACGCAAATTCAAATCCCAGGTAAATACAGTCCTAAGATCACACTTCTGATAGTAAGAACGCAGAAACTAACATTCAACCAATGAAAGTAGATAATAGATTCTAACTAAAAGTCTATCAAATACTGTAATAAACCCACGTAATTTCAGGTTGTAGCTAGGTAGGCAGAAAGAGCTATGTTTCAGGTTAAAGGTATGAAAAGACCACTGATAGTTACAGTGATTTAAGCTTGATTGCTTTCTTTTGTCCAATTTATGTGACCAGATTAATTCAAACTTGTCCTTTCTAAAACAGGTCTCAAACACCTTTCTAGCACAGTGATGCACTTGGCAGTATCAGGTAAGATGCCTTGCTTTTTCCAGGCAACTTGCATTGCCTAGTCTCACTATGCATTACAATTCAGAAGGACTAAAGGCATAAAAAGACTCTTGACCTCCTGCTACGCAGCAGTATGTGGAAGAGCTTTGCAGCCACTGCTCCCTCTCTCCTTAGGTGGACCCTGAAAGTACAAGCAAGGCTTTGCCCCATAAATCAGATCATACCTTCACTGCTTGTTTTTAACTGGAACATTGGATCACCCATTGCAAGTAAAGTCATGGCAGCTTCAGTGCTTCCATCATTAATTCCTACAAAGTTGTTCACACACGTTAGAAGTCACAAGCACATTAACAGAAATCCAATTATCCATATTCAAAAAGCATTTGATACTATCATCAATATAGTGAAGTACATATTTTTTTAAATCATTGCCATTCATGGATCAGGATGCTTGTAGACAGACAGCAATTCTCATCCACTAAAGTCAAACTATTTTAAAAACACTGAGCAGCAACATTATTCCCTTAAATGGTGTAGAGGGTAGGGGGTGGCAAGGTGTTGGCAGCAGGGGGGCTTCCCTGGGCACAGCCGGTTCCACATGACCCACCACAGGACACAGTTGACCTTTGGGTCCCCCCATTTAAGAAGGGGAAAATGTTGCATAGCAGTGAAGAGGGAGGGAAAGAGTGTCAGAAACAACCCTGCAAACACCAAGATTGTTAAGGAAGGACGGGGAGGAGGTACTCCATATGTGGGAGCAGAGACTCCCCTGCAACCTATGAAGGAGCCCTTGGTGGAGCAGGTAGGTATTTCCTGAAGAAATTGCACCCTGTAGAGGGCCTATGGCGGAGTAGACTTATTCTGAAGGACTACAGCACATAAGAAGGACCCCATGCTGTAGCAGTTTGTGAAGGACTGTAACCCATGGGAAGGACCTCACGCTGGAGCAGGAGAAGAATGAAGAGCAAGAAGCATCAGAGAGGAAGTGTTGGAAACTGACTGCAACCCCCATTCCCTGTCCCCCTGTGCCTCTTAGGGGAGGAGGCAGAGGAGTACAAAATGAAGGCATGAAGTTGAGCCTAAGAAAGTCAGGAGAGGAAGGTGTTTTAGTTTTTGTCTTTGTTTCTCACCATCCAACTCTGTTTTATTCAGCAATAAATAAAATGAGATTTCCCCAAGTTGGGTCTGTTTTGATAGGTGATCTCCTTGTCTTTCTCTCAACCCAGGAGCTTTTTCATTTTATTTTCGCCCCTCACCCTGTTCATGAGGAGGAGTGGGAGAGCAGTTGGGTAGGCATCAAGCAAGCTGAAGGTAAGCACTTGCAAAGTTTCCTCTTCTGCTGGTACAACTAACCACAGCATGGGAAAGTCACAGACAGGACATACAAAGGGCACATTCTCACCCTGGGAACAGAACCTTGCAATGCTTGGTCACCCTACTTGATAGAAACCAGTAGAAAGAAAATGGTTTCAGTCTCCTCCATAACATAAAAGCATCCAGTATCTCATGAGGAGTTTCTATTTTATAAGATCTATAAACCCCCCATACTTTCAGCAAGAGTAACTACATACTATGAGCAAGTTGACAGGAAAGATATGGACAAGATTGTTTCATATCTACCTTTGTCCACCTCTGGATTTTCATGTGCGGCTGTTTCCTTAAATAAAATGAAAAACAGTATCAAAGTTCTATTAAAAAATGAATCCATAATTTGAATTTAATGCTTACAGGCAAATTCTCTGCCCAAAGGTTACCCTGGCTTTGAAAGGGTATTTTAAAGGCTGACAATATTTGCTTTCATAGTTTTCCCATAGCTGTGTTCCTCCTATCTGTGTGGGACAGGTAAGAGTCTATTAAGTTATACTGTTACAAGCAGACATGGAAACCAGACACTGTCCACGTAGCTTTGTATGTACTATGACACAAAACAAAACAAAAAAGGACATTCTTACAGCTGTTGAGGTGCTTGCTTCTTCCTCCTTTTGTACCACGGGCTGGACAGCAGCATGACAGAGACTTTCAACATCAGTAACCACCTGCACATCTGGCACATTCACAGATATTTCCAGCTGTAAAAATAATTTTAGAAGTATTTCACTTCATCAGCCCCAAAAGAAAATCTGTCAAATGCAAATTTTTATAAACCACATACATTTACCAGATCTTGAACATTTATTGGGATCCTTCCCAAAAATCAAGTCTTATAATATATACCTTCTAAGAAGGCAGCAGTTGTATGAATTGGAGGCAGAACTAGTAGTGCTGCTTGTAACTAACCAGAGGCATCAATCTAAGACCTTGTTTATAATTGCTAATTCCTCCACCAAACTAAGTTAAGTGGCTGAGATCTTTCATGGTGGCTGTTTACCTCAAATGGGTTTTGTCAGTTTTCACGCTCTTTCTGCTTTTATGTCTTCAGGAAAGAAAAATTGCTCAACCCTTTTTCCAAAGTAAGGTTAGGGAATACACACCCACCAGCCATTTTACCTTTTTTATTTTCTTCTTTTTTTTCTTTAATACTGTCTTTTTACTGAGAACTTCAGACACATGACATTTTCAGAAATGAGGACTTGAAATTTGGCAGAAAGATTACAATATTTCCAGTGAGGTTCTTATGAAAAGCACTGCTCAATCTGGGGAGCTTTCAAAGACTTGCACTTTTACAGATACTTTCCACTGATATATTTAAATTTGACAACAACTCAGTCCTCAGGTATCTAACCATATCCCTTACTAGTACTCATGGCTCCTGTGTGTTAAACCAGGAAACTTGATCATCATCCCCATAAGTAATATATTCCCCATCTTTGAAACTAAGAGATTCAGCAAAACTTTCTGTGCAACAACTTTCCTGTCCATTATTTTCTTAGAGTCTCCCTTGGTGTTTTGACTGACTAAATTCTCTTGCTGTTTCACTCAGAGAAACAAACAGTGTGATTAACTCATGAGACCAAAAAACAGGATTTCAATGGGAGAAGAGAAGTAACAGTAAGCAAGAAGAATCTGAATGAATGGAAAGTAGTGATGAACACCTGAGACATGAATGGAATAGGTTAGATAAACAGACTTCTTACATTCTTTCTATTTTCTCCTTGTCCCACGTGAGAGGGGAATGAGCAAGTAGCTGTGTGTGTGCGACAGTTAAAGTTTCTTGGCAAAGGGGACACCATATACAGAAACATTTCTGTCCTTCTCTCATTTCCTAATATTCAAATGTAAAATTGAAACTCTCATTTGTTTCATCTTGGGCCTCAAAACATGTAGTAAGCATGGTAGTCTGTGCCTACATTCAATTCCAATAAACAAACTGGTGAGCACCCTGCAGACCTATATACAGGTCATAAACATAATGGGACCTTAGACTGATGTAGTATTTTGTTCAAAACCAAGGACATTTGCCAAGTAACATATCCCTGCTACTTGCAACGCCATTCTTAACAAATTAAACTAAACTGGAATAAAACCCAAATATTCAGAGATGCAGTATTATAAAAGCTGGTTAAGCAATCAAAACAAAAATACATCTGCAGAACCCAGCTAAGTGATACCTCCTCCATGGTTTCCTCTATCTGAACAGGAACAGGTTTTGGAGATCGAAGACCTATAGGGACAAACACTGGAGCTTTGTTTACTTCCTCTGGTGCAAAGCATTCATCTTCATCGTGAGGCTCAGAGTCATCTGTCTCCTCTTCCTCCTCCTCTTGAGAAGCCCGGAGGGTCACCAAGGTTATCTTTGAACTTCTGTGCTCCTTACCAGATTTCTTTCTATGTGTAGTTTTCAAACTTTTGCCTCTAGTACCACTCAGTTTAACTTCTTGCCTTTGATTCCCCTTCTCACTGCAATCAGCCTCACATTCAGAGGCAGAAGAAGCAGCAGTTCTTAGCTCCGAGACAGGTTTTGGCAGTGCTATCCGTTTTGATGACCTTCTGGACTGCTTTCTAAAGTACAAAACAAAAGCATGTTCAAAAAACAGTGATGTCTTAAGACATTCCAAAAAAGAGGTTACACAAATCAAAACAAACTCAATGAATAAAAGAGGATCATTGTGACCAACAATACAATCTATTTACCTCTTAATGTATAGCGACAAAAATGCATTCACATACTATCTAATCAGAAATTCTAGTTTCTTCATGTATGCACATTGTACTGATTGCAAATGTTTATTAAGCAGTTTCAGAGTGTTAGAAAGCTGCACAATTAAATTTACAAGACACAGAATTCTTCTGTTAGAAAAGGCTGAATTAATTTTCATTTGGACAGACATGGAAGTCACATGTTTCCATGTCAATGTAACATTTCCAGTACTCTTTGCTAAAGCTATGCTAGGAGCCCCAAAATGTAATGCTTTGGTTGATCAGACTAATATCTAGAAACTAGAATTGTCAGATGATGACCAATTATCTGCTCCAGTTTCTCAGGCAGCAATCTCTTTAATAACGAGGTGCTTACTTTTTCTCTCCTCAAATGATGGGCATGACGGCTTTTAGTACTAAAAGTAATTCTAAACTTTGCCCAAAAAACATCCTGGAGGGTAACACATAGCCACAGAGGACACTTCCAGCACAGAGTTTCTGTTTAGGTTAATCCCAAAATCCCAGTGCCCTCAATATGGGTACTTCAAAGTCCTCCCCTTTAAAATCAGGAATTCCTGTTGAAACCAAAGGTTGGTCCTGGGATGGGCTGGTGGAAGTGCTCACTGTGTTCATTTCATGAGAGTGCAGGCAAGGTAAGAGACACAGGGACATCTGCATGCATCTGGTAGAATTCAGACGGAAGACACAACAACTGACATCATACATGTGCTCACATAACACACTGCAAAACTATAGCTAATAATTGTGTTTTTAAAACAAAAGCCAAAACCAATCAGTTGAGTTTTTAAGCCAGTATTATTTGTTTTACCTTGTAAGATTGTCTGAATTTTTGTCCTGAGAGGTAGAAAGCTGAGAATCATTTTCTTGTTCTACTTGACTCTCATTCTCTGATGATATCTCTGGAGATTGGAGTCTACTCTCCTGCCTGATTCTCTTACAAGATGTTTCTTCAACAGAGTTCGTAAAATCACGTTTTCTTGCAGTGTCTGACAGGGATGCAGCTTCCACCAAGTTACTGGAGCTTGGCTAAACAGAAAAGACAATTAACTACCATATTAAGTACCAAATATTTTTAACTGGTTTTGGTGACAAAAAGATTCAAAGAACTAAGTTTGGTGTTCTTGAAAACATGTCCAGCTGTCATCTCTGGTAGCTTAGGGCATTCTTCCCCATTTTCTTTAATTTCAGGCTCTATAGCAGAAGTGTCATTAGGTGGCATTATCTACGATGCCCAAGTTCCCAGTGCTGATGCTAGTTAATAGACCAAGGCTACATTCAACTTATTAAAAGCAGCAACTCTTCAGAAGCTGGAAAGATGAATTATTTTCTAAAACCACCTATTAATTTAAAGAACAATATGAGGGAAGGAATTTTTTTTTTCTGCCCTGGAAACAAACTAGGAAGGAAAAAACTACAATAGTTTACAGAACAACATTCAAGTATTATTCATCACACGGAGAGAAATGTATCCCAGAACATAAAAAAACATCAATAAGCACAGTTCTGTCATCTACGGACACTTGGCTAAAATAATATGTTAACTGAAAGGCTTTAGTGATCCATCGAGAAAATAAGGGACACCAGATAAACTTGATTCATGTATTGAGACAGAGAAGAAACTAGTCTTGGCTAGATTATACCTGTTGAGCAAATTTAAGCAGAGGTGGTCTGAACTTGTTCAAATACATTTCAACTTATAAGTATAATTACATGCATTTTAGGTAGTATCTCATGTTAGACAACTGCCTTAATTTCCATTGTTCAATGAATAACAGACACTAAATTAACTGGTAACAGTGTTAGCATGTGTTTATGATAATATAGACTTCTGACCATATAAACTGTAATGTACACTGTTATCTCAGGTTTTAGATTCTAAAGACTGTGGAATTAGTTAAGTCCATTTATTCAGCATCACTTCCAACAGCAAATTAAAAAAAAAAAAATCACATTAACCTTTCAGAGCCATATACTGGATTTCTGTGCCATCTATGGTTCTAAATACGAGAATTGAGGTATGAATTGGTTCACAAACCATGATCAGCACTTACCATCGATACACCTGTTTTTTCTAACTCCAAACACACTTCTGCATTTTTTTTCTCAGCCTTGTCCTCTTCTCTGTTTTCAGCCTCTTCAGTATAATTTCTTTTTCTAGTAACTCTCATTAGGTTTGGCCTTGGCTTCCAGAGGGACTCCTTTGGTTGATGCAAAGGTTTTGTATCACTCTGTTTACTTTCTTCTCCAGAATTTAGTTTATCAGTGGACCTACAAAAACATTTTTCAACTTTTGGTTCACAGGAACTACAAAATACACTCTACAAACTTGGTTTATTATCAAATATTTATTACTTCCAGCTAGAAATGAACTTAAGTGTTCTGCATTTGTATTTAGTTAGTTGGTAAAGTTATTAAAAAAATAAAGGAAGCAAAAAACGTGAAAAGGAGACAATTGGCTTTTCACCAATAGTGATCACCTTTCTGATTACTTCTGGACAAATCTTTTGGAAGGATAACAACATTAAAGACTCAAGGTACAGCAGAAAAGCTTCAGCTATAGGTCACAATAGGTCCCAAAAGTTAACCAAACACAGAACATTACATTAATTAATTCCAGTGCTCAAGGTACTACCACTTTTAAACAGGATGGAATTCTCACATCTATCCAAGCATATTCAGATCACTAAGACAGAAAGCTTTTAAACTCATGTTTTGGGAAAGGGCAAGAAGGATGATCCAGGGAACCACAGGCCAGTCAGCCTCACCTCAGTCCCTAGGAAAGTGATGGAGCAGCTAATCCTGGAAACCACTTCCAGACACAAGAAAAACAAGAAGGTGACTTAGAGGAGTCAGCATGGATTCACCATGAGGAGCTTAACCAACCTGATAACCTTTTACAATGAAATGACTAGCTTGATAGATGAAGGGAGAACACTAGACAGTGTCTACCTTGACTTCAATAAGGCTTCTAATACTATCTCCTCTAACATCCTCATAGAGGAGCTGTTGAAGTATGGGCTGGATGAACAGACAAGGAGGTGCACTGAAAACTGACTGGATACACTCAGAGGCTGGTGATCAGTGGCACAAAGTCTAGTCGGAGGCCAGTAACTAGGAGTGTACCCTATGGGTACTAATGTCCAATCCGGTTCAACATCTTCATTAACAATCTGGATGATGGGGCAGGGTGTACCCTCAGCAAGTTTACTCATGATGCAGAACTGTGAGCAGTGGCTGATCCACTGGAGGGTCATGCTGCCACCCAGAAGGACCTGGACAAGCTGGAGAAATGGTCTGACAGGTACCTCAAGAAATTCAACAAGGGGAAGTGCAAAGTCCTGCACCTGAGGAGGAACAACCCCAGGCACAAGTATGAGTCACACAGGTGGAAAGCAGCTTTGCAGAAAAGGACCTGTTCAACACCAAGTTGAACATGAGCCAGCAATGTGCCCTTGCAGCAATGAAAGCTAAAGGTACTCTCAGATGCGTTAGGATAAGTGTTCCAGCAAAGGGTTGGAAAGGGCTAGAAAGGAATGGATGTTCCAGCAAAGGGCTATCAAAGGTGAAGGGACTGAAGCATCTCTTTATGGGGAAAAGCTGAAAAGAGCCTTGAGAAAAATTCTGTTAAAAACTCTTATACTACCTAAGGATGCCACCTAGTGACTTTCACAGCATGTAGCATATAACAACTACAGCTCAGAGCCTACACATCAGAAAGCAAGTACTGTATGGAAACTGGAGAAATGCACATAGTTTTCAAAAAGCTTTTTTTACTCTGTCAACACGGAACTTTACCTTTCTATGGTATCCTGAATGCTTCCTGTAGCATCTGTAGATAGATCTTCCTCTGTTCCTCCCTTGCTGTGGCACTTAGGTGATTCTTTAGAGGAATCAAGTGTTTCTGACTTCGTACTTTTTAGATTTATGTCTAGATTGTCATTCTTGGCCAAATTCCCCACAAACAATACTTCCATGTCATCCTTAGACTTCAGGAAAAAAAAAAAAAACAACAAACATTAGCACAAAATACATCACCTGTGAAATAAAGCATTGTAAGTCATGATAAGGATGTTAAACTGAAAAAAAACTTTGCTTAAAAACTTTCAAGTAGTCTATGGAACTCATCACTGCTCCTTGTTCCTTTAAAGAAGGTATTTATCTAATAAAACCAGACACTATAACCAGTATAGTCTTTCATGAGCAACCACCAAGGAGTTCAGAATAAACTCAGCAACTGAAATATAGCATGGAAGTAAGTATTAATGTATCATGAACTTGAGTGAAATTTCAAAGGTTAAGTAAAGTCTTTAAATTTGTTAACAGAAGTTTAGATATTATCAATGTGTCATTTACAGAATTTTAGAAGACCTCATATTAGAGTGAAAATATTAAACAAGAATGTAATTCTTACTAGTCCCTATTAATTCATTTAAAACAGCATCTTTAGATGTCTTAAAAACAGCTGGTGTGAAACCAAACATCAGAAAGTACAGTCAGAAGTATCCGAACAGAATTCTCACTTTTGAGGAAAGTGGTTCCTCAGATTCTTCTGCCACGGGAAGGTTTTCATTTTTATGTACTTCTTCGTCAATAGGAGCAGCAAGTTCTTGTACTGTCAGAGATTCTTTTTCGCTATCTGCTATTTCTAGACTTGGTCTAGTTCTTGGAGATTCATTCATTATGAACTGTTCTGGTTTCAGAACACCCAGTTTGCCTTCTTGGGAAGTGGATTTTTCAGCACTAGTGAATTTAAAACACACAAAACAAAGATGTCACCTTACTTTGGTTAGGAGGGAAAAAAAGCAATTCTGTATTCATTAAGTTTTGAATTAATACTTATACAAGAGGATTAGAGACTGATAAAGTGTTTTGTTTAAGATCAAGAAAATTTTCTTTTCAAATATATATTTCTTATTTGGGGCATTTATGGTTAACATGTGAGAAGCAATAACAAGATTTCTTTGTCAAGGCATTTTTAACATCAAGAAAAAAGTTGTCTTGCTAACCATGCCAACATGAAAACCCCTGCAGTTTAATACAAGCTTAAGATCTTATTTTAACAGGAAGAGCAGTAAAATAGAAGAGCACACTGGGATCAATGAAAAGACAGATCTCTGACATTTACAAAATTCATATCTGTTATATGTATGATTGCTGTATATGCAAGTACAAACCAAATGAAAGAAAAGCTTGGTCAAAAAGAGCTCATACCAGATAAACAATGACAAGTAAAGCTCAACTGAAAACATACTCTGAAAACATGGGAAGAAGCTGCCTGTAGGCATTGAAAATTAAATACTGGGGAAAGACAGGCAACAAGGAACAAAAGAGTGAAACTTGCAAGGGTGTCTCATCACACACCAGATGAAAGTTTCTCAAATGCAGTTTTGCTAAACTCTAACCTCACCTGCTTTGTTCACACAGGATGTTTTCAGAAATACAAGGCACCTGAGGTGCCTCTTGCTGTTCCTGTTCCTCTTTGCTCAACACATCTGCCTGACACAATATGGCTTCATTTTCACCCTTTAATTTGCAATAAAAAAGCAAGAAGAAGAAGAGAATTAAGGAAGTTTTTGAAACAAAAGTGCATTTTGTAAAAAAAAAAACAAACAACCAAAACTGCAGATCTCTGCTATTTTCTGCATCAAGAATAGAATCACATTACATTTACTGAGAGTTGCCTGAACACATAATTCAATTTATAGGTAAGCAGGAACAGGAGTCTCCTTAGCCCTGAGGTACATAGGAGTTAGGCTCTTAAGCACTACACGCACCCAACCATTATGGGTAACAGTTTTCTATTTAGCACTCAATCAACCCTTTATTGCATGGAGCGCTACAGAAAGAAAATACTTTGGCAACTGGAAAAATCTTTGAAAATTGTACATTGCAGAGCATGGCACGGACATAACCCAAGCCACTAGAACATAACCTCAGATTCAGAAGGGCTTACTGGTTTTACTTCTACATTTGCCACACTGGTTGCACAGAGAAGCCACTCAAACACATCCCTCAGTGCTCCAGGTCTTTGACAGCTTTATTAGTACAGAGGACCATCAGACCTGCTAAGGTTCTACAGATTTGCACAGCAGATGGTGCATGGCTGACAGGCCACAGGTCTAGAACAGCCAGAGCTGAACTGCAAGTAAATTTCTCAGCTAATGTTGAGCTGGACATGGGAGGGAGGTAGGTTAGAGATGTGGTGTGCTCCTGTTCCTCTCTGGGAACGCAGCACACAAGTACTCCGAGCTCACTCTGCACAGCTTCAAGATCAAAAACCAGCTATAACAACTCCAAAAAAAGAGTCAGTCCGACAAAGCTTAGCTACGTTTGAAATCTAAGGCAAGTTTACACAACCATGCCTACATCCATGAGCAACCCACAAAACGGTTACACAGAGTTCATCACACTATAATGGCTTTTGAGCGTTTCAATACCTTTTACAGTGCCCCGTAAAGTGTATGTGGGGATACACAGTGTAGGTGAATGACTCAATTCACCTGTGTAGAGAAGTGTCAGGCACTGCAGTGCTAAAGCCAGTGAAAGCTTATCAAATTAGTATGACCGGTGGGTTTTTTTTGGTTTTGGTTCAGGGTTTTTTTGCTGAAAAATAGCTATTCTCTGCTTTCCCTTGATACTCCATCTAGATTCCTCAACACAGACTGCATTCATCCAAATAGATGAGAAAAAAGTGCTATTTTTTATGTATTGCAATACAAACTACATTTTTTATTCTACAGTTTACCTTAAATGCACATAATTCTTTTTTCCTGTCATGAAGTCCAATCAAAATCAGATTCCCATTCTTCAGAAGACATTAATAGTACAAGTTGTAGGCTTCACTGACACCTCAACATACCAGACCAGGGTTTGAGATTTTTTGCTATCTAGTATGGTGTCTCAGCTTCAGCAAATGCAACTTAAATTTTCTAATTTAACTTAATAAAATAGAACTTGCAACTTGGATCCATACTTTTGGAAGTCCTAATTCTTATTAGACTTACAATGACAGTGTTGGCAGACTCATCTTTTTGCAATGCCTGCTGCTCTGCTTCAGTCTTTTTCTCCCTCTCATTTTCTGATATTTGTAATTCCTTCTTTCCAACAGCTCTTCCCAAGTTTGGCTTGTACCTCTGGAATCTACTCCGCACCAGCTGAACAGGTTGAGGAGGTATTTTTTTACTTCCTTCTTCAGTGGTATTTTTGCTATCAATGCTAAGTCAGACAGGAAAAATAAAAAAAATGAATTACAAAACTTAATACAAGAGTATGTGATTCATGAACTCAGATTCATTACATTTACATATAAAATACAGCTGAGTTTTTAAAGAAACCATGTAAGCATAAAAGTTCTGCTGACTTTAAGTTAAACCCAAAACTTTTGTTTCAGCAAAAATTTCAAAGCACTGGTCTCCTACCTACTTCCATTACAGAATTAACTAACTTGCTGGAAGCATTAACTTAATGTCTGCTTATTACTGTAAAGCCAAAGCAATTTTCACATGGTTTCTCTGACAAGCAAACTAGTATTCCTCTGCTTACATAAAGTGAATCTAGTGTTTCAGATGACTAAACAGTTGTAAAACGAATGCTCGCTAATTTAATGCCTGCATAGAAGTAACTAGAACCTTAGTAACACTAGTGTCAAAACCACTGAGATTTTGTTCAGTATTTCGATAGATTTTCTTTGCCAGTTAGCAATCCATTGGCACAATGATTTCCTTTAAAATACTTTCATTGTTACAGTCAAGACATAAAAGTAGCTAAGGTCTTACCTTGCGTTAGCAGTTGAGGTGTCATCTTGGTTCATTTCCGATAGACAAAACTTGAGTTCACCATCCTCTAATCTTGAAAGTGTCTTTGGCGACTTACAGCTTGGTCTCTCAGAGACCTCCTGAGAGTCAAATGACTTCTCCTTTCCTAAGGGTTCCAATGGTTGCAGAACTTCATGTTTTCCTACTTTCTGAAAAATATAAACACAAGAACCAGAAAAAGTCATGATACTAAACCAAAAGGAGACACTATGATGTCCACAAAGTTTGGTACTAATCACTCTCTTAAGTGTTTCCTGCAAAAACTTCTCTAACTGCTTACTAATAATTTCTTAGTCTTCCCATGACAAACATACATTCTTTTCTTTTAGACAACATAGCTTGAAATCTAAATTTCTTCTTTGCCATCTGTAACAAGAGATACAGAATAGAGAATATTTTTCTCCTCACATTCAACCAAGTGGAAAGCACAGGGGTTCCCATGTAAAAAATTTTAGCTTTTGGAAAAATTGTTCTAAAAAAATAATTCACTTAGTAGTTTTTAAATAATCAGTTTTTAATTTCACAAACCCAAAAGATCAAATATAACTAAAGGAAAAAAAAAAAAAGCCTTACATCTGTATCAGGAAGGATGTTACAGTCACTGTCACACTGTGTCAAATTTTCTTCCTTTTTGGTATCTTCCTGTGATACACCTTTATTATTTACATCCAGCACTTCCTTTCTACAAGTTGTAATTCTTAAATTTGGCTTTGGTCTCTGGAATCGACTCCTCAGTAGCCGAGCTGATGATACAACAGTTTTTTCCTCCTCCTTCTGAGGACCAGACTCCCTACAAAAACAAACAAAAGAACAATCAAAGGCAGGGGACAACAGTGGTTCCCCAAGTCACACATGACATACTTGAACGTAGCTCTGCTAAACACAGTAGCCAAGTATAAAAATCCTTCGCTTTCTTAGAGCAATAAGTTATGACACTGTGAAAAAAGATCCAATAACAGCACATCAAACATCACCAAAACCCTGGTGTATCTTATAAATAGGTGAGAAAAAGAAGTTAAAAATAGATGCCATTTCAGAACTGCAACGTCCAGTCACACTTTGACAGGAATATAAACATTTTATAAATGCCTTTTTTTCTGTCTAATCATGTTTAAAACTACCTGGTAGATTTACAGCACAGTTGTTCGGGGTTTTTTTAGAGGACACTTTAACAGGAAATCAAACCCTATACTCAAGTATAAATAAGCACATAAGGATGCACTGTTAGGACCAACATGGAAAAGAGAACCACAGGAACTGAGCATCAGAAAAACATACTAATTTGAAAACTGGGCTCACAGTCTAAATATCAAATTAACATCCAACAGCACATATACTTAATGCTTTTGAGCTCTTGGGGGTTTGTTTGTTTAAGCCTAGTATTGTTTTGATTAAACATGTCATTAGCGATTTAAAACCTGGAGCTGAATGTAAAAGTGTAGATACCTAGAGATAATAATGGTTTTGAATCATCTCTTTCCTCCATTTTGAAAAACCTGTTTCAAGACATCTGACAATCCCTTTTCATTTTCATACCTTTCTGCTTCTGAGGACTTTTCTTGGGAACACTGCCTTCTGCGTACTAAGTTCATCTCAGAATCTGTAGAAACATTCCCTTCTAGTATCACATTGCTTGACTGAGTATCTTCACACACCATCACATCCTAAAAGGAACAAAAGTTTCACTCTATTAAGATGAAAGATTTGCTTGACTTCTCTTTTAGAAAAGCAGGGGAAAAGTTTATTCTAGCACCTCTCAGAAAAACAGAAGAAGGTAACACCATTAGATAATTTAAAAGTTTGTTATTTTTCTGTAAGTACACTTTTCTATGTACTTTCTAGCTGAAGTGGTCTCTTTTCCAAGAAACCTTTAGCTCCTGCACTTCTCTTTTCCAATCTGGTATCACTAATAAGTGACCACAACAAAGTGAGATATAATCCATCTACCCATGGAAAACAGAACCCAAGTGCAAGCATGAGGAAATTTCATGACAATTCGGTTTATACTGAAAGAATAAAAGAAGCATGCAAAGGCTATGCTTACAAATTATGTAATATGCACCTAGATCTTTGTTACTAAAGGCTTCTACTTAGGACCCAGCAGAACAGCATGCCTAAGTGACTGTTCAATAAACTTACATTTTTGAGGCATGGATCATTGTTTTCACCATGTGTCACACCTTTTTCTACTTCTTCACCTTCCCTTTTCTCCTCTTCAGCATCTTTTTCATCTGTCAGGTCTTTCTGCCTTGCAACACTTCTTCCTAGATTTGGTTTTGGTCTCTGCACTCTGCCTCTCTTTAGAGGTGTTGGTTTCAGCACACTCTGCTTGCTGTCTTCCTGTAAACCAGCTGTTTCATTAGATCTGGAAAAGTACATAAGATCCATTAGTACATACCACATCTGAAAGCGAGAAGAGTCTTGGAGAAGTGATATTTTTTTCTTTTATTCATTTTAAACAGTTATTAACACACACTTATCTAAAAATGGAGCTATACTTTACTAAATTAATGAAACAATAAAGTTAGAAGTGTATCTGCTAGAGACTGAAAAAGTACCTGACAAGTTTAAACTTATATTTGCCCTGTTCTTTTTCTTTTCCCACTGGAGACAGGATACCACGCTAGATAGACCTTTCTCTGCCCTTTAATTGCTCTTCCAGTATTCCTAGTTGGTCTAGAAGCAGATGGACCTAATTTAATGAAGGGTTAAAAATAACAAACATTCATAAAAATATATAACTAACTTCACAATCTTACTAACGTAAAAATGTCAGATGCACATTACAACTGTCTGATGCTTCTATGTCTTTTTAACCTCAGCATCAAGTTACATAGCACGTTAATTAAAGAAATAACTTCTAAAGTATTTTTCTGCCAAATTATGAAACCCAGTTTATCTCCCTCCATCCTCTTCAACTATCCCCCTTTAAAAACAAAAGTTATGGGTTTTTTTGAGTTGCTGTTCTGCTTTGATTTGGGTTTTGGTGTTGGATTGGGTATTTTTGTGGGGGAGGGTAGGCAGGGTAGGGTGGCTTTCTTATTTGTTTGGTTTTTTGGGTTTTTTTTTTTCTTTTTTCTGTAATTACTACACTATGTAATACTATCAGAAGCAAGAAGGATGGCAAATTGCTGGAGAGCAGCATATGTCTTCTCTTTTTTCACATACTTACCGAGACACTGTCTCCAGGACTTTATCATTTTTCTCTGCAGCTTCTTCATTAGTAGCATCTGACCTATTACTTTCATCAGTATTCTGAGTAGAAATAGAACATTAAGACATTAAGTCTCCTACATTTATAAAGTACGGATTTACCTAACAGACCAGGTAACTGTCCATAACAGAATACAAAATAGATAGTTTATGACAGACACAAGCAATTACACGATACATTTCACATAGCCAGAAGGTGCAGTAAAATCCAGATCTTACACACAAAAGGTTATTGTCATCTACTGTTTCTGTGACAAGCTCCCAGCTTAGCTGAGGCCCCTAAGCTGTATCACATTGTAATTGCAGGTTAAGCGAATAGCTGACTCCTGGTCATACTCAGGGGAATGAAAGAAAAAAAAGAAAAGAAAAAGATAACATTGCTGTTGCATCCAGCAGGTTTTTAGCTAACACATTATCTCCAGTTACCTCACTCTATTAAATACCTTTTCGGTTTCTTTCTTGGGGGGTGGATGGGACATTTTGTCATTTCCTGCATCTTTTCCAGGCTCTTCTTTCCTTCCAGACGCTCTTGTAACATTAGGCTTAAATCTCTGTCGACATCCTCTAACTACTGCCTTTGCAATTACAGTTTTTTCATGTTCTCTGCACAAAGTAAGCACAACAGTGACATTTATTGCATTCTATTCAAGCCTATATTTTTTTCAAATATAATATTAAATGACTTGCACAGCTTGCTTTACTGGAATTAGGCTTTCTTTGGAAGAATTTGGAAGGATTTGCACAAACGTTTCCCACATGACAACTAAACTTTCTTCAGGCTTACAGAGTGTGAAAACTCCGTTTATCTACCTATTAAAAAGACACGAAGTTATCACACAGGTGAGGAACCTAACTAGATTGCATCCATACCTGCTTCTGACACTGGTAAAAGCAGAGTCATTGTGGGAAAAAGGCGAAGCCATAGTTTTCACTTCCATTCCTTCCCCCTTCCAAATTCCAAGCATACATGGTATACTGCATAAAAAAACGCTTTCCCAGAAAAGCAGTCCATACCTTATATCATAGTACCATTTGATACCATCCAAGAAAATGCCAAAGTCAAATTTAAGATTTATGTTAAAATTTCAGAGTTATTGTTGTCTTCTTATAACAACACTATATAGGATAAATTAACAATTCTAGTCAGTTGATTCCAGGAGACTGGAAAAGGTATCTCAATACTTACTCAGATTTAGTATCCAAATCTGTGTTCTCTACTTCCATGGCTTCATTTCTGTTTCTTCTACTGTCTTCCTCAGAGCACTGGAATTGAGGCAATGAATATTACTCTTGAAAAGTGTACAGTGTTATTCTCAGAAGTGTACAGTATTATTCTCAGAATAATAATTAGACTGCAGCTGGCCCACAGGATCAGCATTGGTCAACATGGATACAGCATCAAGCACAGCATATTAAGCAATGTTCCTCCTTCTGACCTTTTCATCTGTATTCACAAGGTTTGGAGAAGAAGTCTCAGCCTCCATTTTCTCTTGGGTTGCTATTTCTCTCCTTGCAGATGATCTCACTAAATTTGGTTTAGGTCTTTGCAAGCGCCCTCTGTCTGCTGGCTTTTCAGTTTTCCTTCAGATATAAAAAGAGGTGGTATATATTATTGTCAAAAAGAAACTAAAAGTCTTACATGGTCCACAATGTATTTCAAGAGCACCACAGACCGCATGGGTAATGCAGCAAGCCAATAAATTGAGAAAAATCATATTACATCTTTCTGATATTAGAAGGTATGATACTATTTAATACAAAGAATGTAAAATAAATCTTAAGAACTTTGCTGGCTTTCAGTGAAATCTACTAAAAAATATCTGAAGGAATACCTCTTGTCCTAGAGATTCACAATCAATGTCAGTGTGAACAGGCTTACTGATTTAAATAGAAACAATAGAAATTTGCTCCAAAGTAGAGCAAATTCACTTAATACACAAAATTTTGCACCTGTATCTCCTGTCCCTCCATTCACTTTCAAAGTTATCTCACTCACAGAAATACGAACTTCTATTTTCAGATAACTTGCCCTACTGCCAACATCAATACACTATTGAAGAATGGGGTACACGCATCAATTTCTGTGTCCTTAACCATTGCAATAGGGTCCTGAAATTCACATACTGTTTATCAGTAATCTTATCAGTAATCTTCAGATTGGTAACTACTACCTTTTCTTACATTCTTCCTAGAACAGGACAAATAAAGCTTAGACAGTCTTTACCGTAAGAATGAGCTGCCCTTCAATATGGGAAGGACAGAAGCATGAAAAACAACTTAGCATTAACTAGTAGCCTATCCCTAAATCACTTTTAAAAAATTGTATCATGGAACAGGAAGTTGCAGATCACTCAAAGATGGAAACTTTAGGCACAGACTTGTTAAACACCACTACTCAATTACAGCAAGTGTAAGAAATAATCACAAAGATTAACTTCATAAAGGAGTGCAGGTAAGGCAGAGACAACTTGGAGTATCTTCTAGAGAGGTGTGTCTCAGCTAGACTCTTGCATTGAGTTCCCAAGAGCAACAGTTTCTAATTAGGAAGGTATGAATACACCATACACATGATGTGTTCAAGCTAATAAGGTCTATCGACAACTGGAAATTTCAAAGAATACAGTGAGGCCCTTTCTAAAAAAAATAATAAAAAATTACTTTTCACAACCAAGGTTCCACCAAAAAATGACAGAACTTCTTCACATAAATTTCTCATTCTTACTCGCTGTAGAGGGGCTAACCTTTTTCTAAGCTTAGTTCATCTTCCTCATTCTAATGTAACATTTTAAATTTTAGTCAAAGCATTGCTCCTTGGTGATCAAAATTTCTATCATAAACTTCACTAAATATGGTAAAAAGTTACCAGGATCTACCGTGTATCTTACTATGGTAAACCAGAATTATATCCAAATTAAGTAAATCCAGGTTTAGCTCAAATACCATTGCAAGGTAAAATGATTCTACTTACATGCTTTCAGACTGAGAATCACTTTCTGGTGCACTCTGCTTTTCATCAGGTCTATCTACGTCATGTATGTCTTTGTTCTGAGTAAGAAAAAAAATTATTGTAGAAATGAAATGATAAATGTAGAACTCTGCTGCAATGTAGAGAAAAGCAGAAACAAGAACAAGAGTCACAGAATGGCTGAAGTCTGAAGGGACCTCAGGAGGTCATCTGGACCAACCCCACTGCTCAAGCAGAGCCACACAGAGCTGGTTGCCTACGTGCCTGCCCATGTCCAGGTGGCTTTTGAATATTGCCAAGGATGAAGACTCCACAACCTCTCTGGGCAACCTGTGCCAGTGCTCTGTCACCCTCAGAGTGAAAAAGTACTTCCTGAAGTCCAGAGGGAACCTCCTGTGTTTCAGCTTGTGCCCACTGTCTCCTCTTTTATCACTGGGCACCACTGGAAACAGCCTGGCTCCATCCTCTTTGCACCCTCCCTTTAGGTTTTTATATAGAATTATGGAATGGTTTGGGTTGAAAGGGACCTTAAAGATCATCTTGTTCCAACTCCCCTGCCATGGGGGTATCTATATATCTTATGTAGATATTAAAGAGATGCCCCTGAATCTTCTCTTTCTTAAGTCCCTTCACCATCTTCATGGCCCTATGATGAGCTATCTCCAGTATGTCCATGTCTTTCACATTTGGGAGCCCCGAACTGGTCACAGTACTCTGGGTGTGGCATCACCAGTGCTGAATAGGGGCGGTAGGATCACCTTCCTCAACCTTCTGGTAACAATTCTCCTCATACAGCCAAGGATACCATTAGCCTTTTTTGCAGCCAGGGCACATCGTTGACTCATGTTCAACATAGTGCCCACCAGGACAGCCAGGTCCTTTCTTGCAAAGTCGCTTTCCACCTAGGTGGTTCCCAGCACATGCTAGTGCCTGGGGTTGTTCCTCCCCAGGTGCAAGACTTTGCACTTCCCCTTGTTGAACACTTCACGAGGTTCCTGTCAGCCTATTTCTTTGTTGTCCAATTGGATGAAGCTGATAAGACTCCTTAGGAAGGATCAACTATCATTACTTTCCAAGTCTAGTATTTAAATCATTTGCCTAGAGAGCACAGACCATCACTCTGAAAAAGAAAAAACCTGACAACATAGCAAACTAATCACAATTACAGAAAAGACTTTACGGAACCTATTTAGTAAATTATGGTAAAAGCTAACTGCATAAAACATTTCTCTATTTTATTTACCTCTTCAATAATATTAATAGAATCATGTTTCACATCACTGGTTGGCTGAGCATTTCTAGTTTTAGTCCTTGATTATGTTCAGATACTTTTAAAAAAAATTAACTACAACAGGCCAAGAGAATTAGAACTGACATAAAAGGTCTTTTGAAATTACAGTTTTAGAGGTTATTATGCTGCATGTCAAACAGCCATAATTAATCAGCTAGATAGCTTAGCTACTCAGGCTACTGACACCACCATGATAAGCTGGTGTATATAGTACATTGCCCTGTTCAGTTCACCGATTTTTGAATATATTATTCCATCTAACGAAGGAGATCGTATTGTTACAACATTTCCAACTACAGGCATTTAGTATTTACAAAGATCCTAAGTAGCTGCTTTCCATTTAGACAAAGACATTCTTTTAGGTAAGAAAAATAAATGCCAAAGGACAAATAATTTACCCATTACAACAGGGAAACACTAACACTTAGAATTTCCTAATATCTCACCACAAACTTTAGCCATAAGATCATTCTTTGTCTGGGAAAGCACAAGAGAAGTAATTCATTCCCCTGTGGCACAAGTCTTTAAACAGTACGATAGTGATGCAAGGGTATAAGGACAATCAGAACTTTCTCTATATGAAGGGAAGTGTAAGACTAGAACTCCTCAGCTTGAAAAAAATATTGCTGCAGAGAGGAATACTGGCCTTGTAAGCAGCAAGAGCCTAGAGAAGATGAACAGGAACAGAACAATGGAAGTACAATGCATATTAAACAACCAGGCACCAGGCTTAAAACAGTGCAAAGAATACACTCTTTCAAGTAAGCAAATAATTAAAGGAATGAACTCTCAGCTGTAGCATGCAATTCATGACAAAGGTACAGACAGATGCAAAAAAGCAGCTAGACAAACTCATGATTAGGAATCAAGGGCTTCAAAAGAAGCCAGACACACCCGCATGAGGTTTTTAAACTGCTGAACCTCATTAGAACATACCCAAAGAAAGATCATTCAATCTCGGTCCAGTTTCTTCGATCTTTCCTGAAACACCTCATGGCAACCAGTACTAGTGGACAAGAGTTTAACAGGTTTCCATTCTGAGGCAGCACAAAAAACCCAATGGTCATCCTGCTCAAGTAAGTTTCTAACATTGCACGAGTAAGCTACGCCAGCAAAATCTTACTCCAAGACTTTACTGTTGATGTTGTACTGCTTCACTTTTGAATAACTGAACTGTTCAGCTGTTTTAATTGTCTATGAAGTAAGCTAGTCATGCACAGTATACTCTCTGTATAAATTTAGTATAACAGACAACCTACTAAAGTGAGCCAAATTGACAGTATTTAAGTTCCGGTGATGTTATCAAGCCTGTTACCTTTTTTCCACCTAGTAGTAAAAACATGACGAAACCAACCAAAAAATGGCTTTGATTTATAAAAACACGTTGAATGTTAAGGAGGAAGACCTTAAGAAGTAAGAATTAAATAAATACCTTTGTTTCTGTAGTTTCTTCAGATTGTCTTTCTTTGCTTCTCATCTTTGAAACAGGTAACTTTGAAATCGGGCTTTCCTGTGATGTATCATCTCTAATATCTAGGATTCTCAGTTTAGCACATTCAGTTTCTAGTATAACATCATTGCTACCTTCAAAGCTGAAGTGAATAAAAGCACACAAAAGCATTATATTAGTATTATTGTTTACAGAAAGATCAAGTTGCACAGAAAAATTATGCAATTTTGACACTAAATAACTATTCGAGTTTCAGAGAATCTGACAGATTTTAGTGATATTTGCAGGATATAAGCTTTAGATTAACTTTTGTACTTTTGCAATGCTATTACATGACGATTTTAAAATTTCGTCTCTATGTTCTAAACTAGATATTCCTTTTAAACAGACTTTACTAATATAAACACTGTACGCAGAAGGTTTTTCTCTGCTCCCCCTCACCCCAGTCTTCTTTAACAATCTATGTTAAGTTCAAAGACAAATACTATTCCTTCATATGCTTCCAAAGAGGTATTAAAGCACATAAAAGTTATGGGAATCTGTATGAAACAACAAACAATTACAATACAGCTAAATACAACAATTAAGACACAAAATTCTGAAGTAGCACCAGCAGCTTTATAATAACTTTTAGATTTACCATTTTCTTGTGTAACAAGTTTTAGTAAAACAAACATTCGCTTTCTCTGTCATAAAAGAATGCCCAAAACTAAAACCAAAAGGTTAGTTCCCACCCAGGTCCTGCACAAATCAAATCCAAACAACCTTCTTTTCCCACAAAAACCATCTTATAAAAAACAGATATAAGCAACACCACCAAGTAGTGCTTTGAGAGAAATATTAGGAATTAGGGTAAACCAACAGCCTCCATTGACACCCGAAAATAAAGTGAAAGCTGGGAAGTTTTGGATAGGATTTTAGTATTAATATAAATTAACTCTGCAAGCGCAGCCATCAGGACAGAGAATATATTGAGACTGTAAATAAAAAACAGCTTACTAAAACATAGGGCAGTCTTCAGAAACCAAAAACCTGCCCATTCTGTGCCAGTTAACATGATGGTATACATGAATAAATAAAACCAGTATTAAAACGTTAAACTATTTTTCATTTTGCCTAAGCCTTCCATTGAAAACATTACCTGCATAAATTGACATCATTTTCTCCCTCCATTATGTCATTGGATGATAAACAGGATGTTGATCTCTCTTCCTCTGTAACAGCAGTCTCATCTTGTTTTCCTTCAGTAACATTATCTAGTTCTTCTCTACAGGTAGTATGATCATCGTTAGCATCACATACCATTTTTTTTTCTGCTAATGAATAAGAATTAAATCAATTTGGACATTCTGGGCAACATCTTAGAATCCAAATTCTCACATCCTAGCTATAGTGAAGCAAGACTCAATTGAAAACAAAAAAAATCCCAGTAGAAAATGCCTAAGTATTAAGATTTATGACAACTTTTCTCAGTAAAAATAAAATGCTTAGATTTAGTATGAAAGCTGATTTTGAAAGGCATTATTCCACAAGCTCCCAAGGCAGATTAGTGAAATAAAACCCAAGTTCTCAATTTCAAATTTGCAAAGTCCTTATATAAAATATAAATTTTATATAAAGAAACCCACAAGAAAGCTGGAGAGGGACTTTTTATAAGGGCATGTAGTGACAGAACTTCGAACTAGAAGAGGGTAGATTTAGATTAGATATCAGGAAATAAGTTTTCACTATGAAGACGGTGAGACACTGGAACAGGTTGCCCAGGGAAGCTGTGCATGCCCCATCCCTGGAGATGTTCAAGACCAGGCTGAATAGGGCGTTGAGCAATCTGGTTTAGTGGAAGGTGTCCCTGCCTGTGGTCGGGGGGTTGGAACAAGATGATCTTTAAGGTCCCTTCCAACCCAAACCATTCTGATTCTATGATATTTGAACATTTGACAGTCAGCACTTTTGCCTCTTACTTTTCTTAGAGGATTTATCTTCTTCCGCAATTTTTGGAGGGACAGACGTTTCTTCTGAAAGATTCTCCACTTCCTGGTCAAGATCATCTTTTCTCTTTTTCTTTCTCTTCTTTTTTGCTAATGATGGCTCTGATGCAACCTGTTCTTCTGCTTGTTCAGAAATTCCCAAAGATTCTTCATTTTCTTTCTCAGCCATCACAGTATCTGTTTCTGCATCAGAAATTCTAGCTTCCTGGAGATCATCTTTATCATTAGCAGCTTCTGTGCTGGCAGCTTTTGCTATTGAGACAATACAGTTCCTGTTTAATAGACTGGTGGAGTATTATGAGCCACCAATAGCAAAGATGTTTCCACTAGCAACATCTTGTGAATTCATACATCACTGCCAATATACTGTCAGACACATGAGCAGGACCATCAGAAGTCAGTCACTGACTTAACAGAAAAGCTTCAGAGTAGATTAACTTCAACACTAAATGCAAAACACATTCTGTACATGGGACATTTCACCAGGGTAAAGTCAATACCAGATGCAATTTAGTATAGGATGCAATTTAGTAAATGTTCTTGTTCCTCTACTTTTTAGCAGGTAACACAATCACTTTTGGCTCCAGGAAAAACAGGTATTGCTATTTCTGAAAAAAAAGTTATTATATCTCTGCAGAAAAAGGTGATGATGGCTGCAGAAGGTAAGCCATGGGGAAGTATTTTTCAGCAATAGATGTGTTTTTGTTAATCATTCTTATTTACATAAGAAAGCTGAATTACTATCTAATAATTCACAAGTCCTTTTCTAGATTTAATGAGTTTCTAAAATTCTACTGCCTCCTCTTTTCACAACAATTTGTCTCGATCTTGTATTTAGGCAGAATATCAACCACCACAAAACTTTCCCTGTCCTTTTCATTATTCTTATACAAACTTGTTCCCCTATAATTAAGAAATCCAAAATGCAAGAGAAGTCAAAAAGCATGCTCAAATTACTTCACAAAGTACTTTTAATCTACCATTAAAGTTTATGAAAAGAATTTCTATATGTAGCTGTAAGTCCTAACAGGCAGGACATTTTACTTCATCTAGTATGAAATGAAGCCTATATAAAAGAAGCAACTATGTCAATTTTAAGAATCAATTGCTAGCTAGCATCCCCTTTAAAAAGGTTGTTCACTTGTTTGTTCCACAAGAACCCATTTTCTTGTAGATGGCATTGTGGAACAAACAAGTGAACAACCTAACAGAATTGGCAGAGAATTTATGAAGTGGTGTCAGTGTAACTGTTCTTAATTTCAGCACATCTGTGAAAGGCTACTTCACTGGTAATGGGGTTATAAGATACTAGATAGTGAATACAGTGATCAATAGTATTTAATCAATCTTTATTCTTTATTTTGAGCAGACCAGAAAACAAAGACAACTTTTACAAGACTCCCTGCAAAGAATTACACCCTTCAGACTTAGGGAGTGTAACTATAATTAAAGGAGAAACATCAACCTTAAAAAGGTTTAAGATATAAGAAAAATTTAATTTAAAAGTCACAGAAGACCTTGCCATTAAAATGGTTTGGCCCAAGGATTTTAAAAGTGATTTGTTAGCAACTCGTGGAAATACTTTTCAACTGTTAAAATAAAACCCCATTTAGAATATCAGTGCTTCAGACTGTGGACAATCACTAATCTCAATGCAGTCTCAGATTCCTGCCCAGAGAAAATGCACCTCCGGAAACTGACTGCTGCCAACTACTACCATCCCATACATCACAAAACTACATCTGAAATAGTTATGCTATCAAGGCAAGACCTTCTTGCCTTGTCAGGAACTGAGAAGGAAAAGATTCCCTATGTGATTTTTCCTCTGCTAGCAACACACTACTGACCACTGCTCTGTAGCAATATCTCAAACACTCTTTTAAAGTACCTTTTGGCTTCTTCCTAGGCCTTGATGGCTTCCTTTCCTTTGGCTTCTGGCTTTTAACAGTTTTTTGCTTCCTCTTTTCCTCATCTGCTAAGACCTTCTCAAGCAGCTGGGCAAAGAATTCAAAATCGAAGGGACGCTTTTCTTCTGTCAGATAAAAGCAAAAAAGGAGAAAAGATTTCAAATTTGATAATTTTTCCAAGCTTCTGCTTTGTAAAATAATCAGTGGTCTATGTTATGATATTAAAAAGCAAAGATTATTTAAATTTAAACAGAGAATTGCTTTTGCAAACACTTTCTGTATCACGAGCAGGAACTGGAGTTGACATATACAAGCATTATGGTAGCTTGGTTTTAAAAAACAAATAGTAAAAAGCTTACAGTACTTAGTAGTTTAGAAAATTTAGTAAACGACAAATACATGCATTGTACCCTAGGAGCAAATAATGTATTAACATGCTGCTCTAGGACTTATGTAGGTCATTTAAATAACACGCAAAGCCTTTAAGGATTCTCAAGGCAGTTTACCATAAGTATCTTTGCTACACATTCCCGTGAATCAAAATAATCTTCAACTGAATATACATATAGGAAAGTTTATATTAATGTCATTCATCAGACATAGAAAAGCCAGAATTTAAATCTAAAGATCTTTACTGTAAACCATGCTTGTTATAAACCCCTAAAATTCTCCAGCTTCTGAACTCAACCATGAGCAGAAACTTTTCTTTATAACCCATTTTGATCCAGGCAAAGGACAAAAATTACCATGAGAAAAGATGACTACCATTTAGTGACTCATTGCAGGGTGGGGTACATTTACTTTACTTACTGAAAGCTTTGTCTATCCTCCATCCATTAGCTTTTTCCTCACGTTTGAACTTGTTCTGAAAGCAAAGATACATTTGCCTTTTTCAGTAAGCAAGAAATTAAACATTATGTTATACAAAATGGCAGGTGAATGCAACATAATTTTCCACCAACTAAGGTTAAAACTTAAAAACACACCTTCAGAACACAAGTTTGTAATTAATTTTTAAACATAAAATCTGCCTCCAATATACAACACCAGTCATAAATTTTTATTATTTTCAAAGTATTTGTCCTTACTTCCAATCTAAGCAAGGTTTGAGATATCAAAGATCTTCCCAGCTGGATGCCACAAAAGAGGCAACACAGAAGACTCTCACCAAACATCCGCTTGTGGATGTTAAGGAGGTGACTGCTGACAGTCAACACAGCTTCACTAAGGGCAAATTGTGCCTGACAAATTTGGTGGCCTTCTATGAAGGTATTACAGCATTGAGTAAGTGAAAAGCAATGGACATCATCTACCTGGAATTGTGCAAAGCCTTTGACACTGTCTCACATGACATCCTGGTCTCTAAATTGGAGAGACATGGATTTGATGGATGAACAGTGGATAAGGAATTGGCTGGATTGTGGCGCTCAAAGGGCTGCGGTCAACAGCTCGATGTCCAAGTGGTGACCAGTGATGAGTGGTGTTCCCCAGGGGCTGGTACAGAGACCAGCACGGTTTAACATCTTTATGGGTGACATGGACAGTGGGATAGAGCGCATCCCCAGCAAGTGTGCCAACAACATCAAGCTGTATGGTGTGATTGACACACTGGAGGGAATGGATGCCATCCAGAGGGACCTGGACAGCTGTGCCTGTGCAAACCTCACAAGGCCAAGTGCAAGGTCCTGCATGCGGGTCGGGCAATCCCAAGCACAAATACAGGCTGGGCAGAGAATGGATTGGGAGCAGCCCTGAAGAGAAGGATTTGGTGGTGTTGATGTATGAGAAGCTCAACATAAGGTAGCAATATGTGCTCAGAAACCAACCACATCCTGGGCTGCATCAAAATAAGTGTGGCCAGCAGGTCAAGGGAGGCGATTCTGCCCCTCCACTCTGCTCTGGTGACACCCCACCTGGAGTATGTATCCAGCTCTGGAGTCCCCAAATAAGAAGACATAGACCCATTGGAGTGAGTCCAGAGGAGGGCCATGAAGATGATCAGAGGGCTGGAGCACCTCTCCTATGAAGAAAGGCTGAGAGAGTTGGGGTTATTCAGCCTTGAGAAGGCGCTGGGGAGAACTTGTAGCAGCCTTTCAGTACCTAATGTGGGTCTACAAGAGGAAGGACTCTTTATGAGGCACTGTAGTGACAGGACAAGGAGTAAAAGTTTTAAACTGAAAGAGGGGAGATTTAGATTAGATATTAGGAAGAAATTCTTTACTGTGAGGGCAGTGACACAATGGAACAGGTTGCCCAGGGAAGCTGTGGACTGTATTCCTGGAAGTGTTCAAGGCCAGGCTGGATGGGGCTTTGAGCAACCTGGTCTAGTGGGAGGTGTCCGTGCCCATGGCCAGGGGGTTGGAACTTGATAATCTTTAAGGTCCCTTCCAACTCTAACCATTCCATGATTCTCTGCTAAGCAGTGATCTTCAGTTAACATAAAATGGCAACAAACTGTATTGAGATATGCTAGATATAGCAGATCTGTTGTTCAGAACTCAACCCAGCCTGTTTCAGAGACTTACTGCCTCTTGTAAAGTTATTAAAAAAAGTATTGCTACAGATCCAGTTAGCATCAAAATTATCAACACTAGCAGAGGACGCATAGGAACAGTAAACTGGAATCAGAAAAGTGAAAACAGATGTTTAATTGCCTAAATTAATTTACCTTAATTTCTGCTCGGGCTCTATGAGGAAACAGCCGTCCAATCAAGGAGAAGTCTGTTCCCACCATACTGATAGCTAAAAAGAACATGTCTGTTTCTGGAAGTAAAGGGCAAAAAAAATTACACACACTTAAGTATTTAATTAACCATCCTTCTTCTAATCTAAAATAAAAAAAGCTTTCAAACTTAATGCGACAAGATAAATAATTTTAAGGTTACTGTAGGGAAGTAATGGAAGACAGGTGAAGAGGACTGTAAATATGCTCAAGTACCTCCAGCATGATGGGGTGCTGGAAAACATGTGTCACACTAATTGTTAAGTCTTATGTGCTCAACAAATAGAACATCTGCAGTTAGATAAAACAGGCTTAGGATGGGCTCAGGGGCACCTTATCCAACATGCCTGAGATTCCTGCCCTGCTGTTGAACAGGATCCAAGCACAGAGAAACGCCTGAACCCCTGAAATACAGGCGAGAACTGCAAATCTGAACTCTCACTCTCCTCCTAACAAGGACTTTTGTTAATAAGGACTCTCATTCCACAGTGCCTGTGTCCTCTGCTTGCATGCCTCTGCCTGAGTGCTGCCTTGGAGATTCCCCAGTCCAAGAGCTATTGAGATTAAATTTGTTTTTTGCCTTTCATCCATCGTTTTGTGGTTGTTCCTGTGCCCTGCCTGCATGGGCTCACAGTTATCTGCTGTGGCTGCAAGTTCAGCTGGGACGGAGTACATGTGTTATTTCACCTAAATACCTCTAATAACATTTGCTGAATGAACTATTGACAGAAAGAACTGTATAAACTAGTACAAAACTGCAGAATGTGACATATCTTCTGTAAAGCTAGTAAATCAAAGCTAACCAATTCCAAATTGCCAAAGTTCATTTTTATTATGCTGACAAACAAAAATCAGAAAAAACACATGTGTAAGAATACCATCTCTATTATTATTTCTCAACAGGGAAAGAGTGCATTCCAAAAGCAGCACAGTGAATTCTGAAGCTAATTCTTCCCTCTAGGGTTGTAAAAAAAAACATTTACAATTGTAAGAAGTCTTGCACAGTACTGTCAGCTTAGAGATAATAAACAATTCACAACAGGCATAATTAAAAAAACAACCCATGCACTCATAAAAATATGTGCACTGAAATCAGCCTGTATAGAGATGGCTTATAGAACTTATTCTTCTGCATGCTGGAAGGGCCAAGAAAAGCAGCTGTTAAGAAATGCTAACTGTTTCATGTAGAGCGCAAATATCTGGACACCAGAATCCAAAATTATGCTTTTGATAAGGCAGACTAGCATGTAAGCATCCATGACAAAAAATTCACAGGTAGGCTGCAAATCATAAGGCACTGAATTTCTAAAAAAATGCCCATTTCCACAGTAAACATCACAGCTCTGCTTGTTATAACAGTTTGTGACCACACCACACATAAGTAGATCCTTTTACTCCACCAGAAATGAAAATTGTTGAGTACAAAGCACAGATGGAAAACAAAGTTTTTCTTCAGACTCAGAACTTGAAGCCAAAAGTAAACTCACCTTTATTTGACCATGGTTTCGTGTAAAAACTTTTCCTGAAGCTCGAATACGTAGTTGTAGAGCCACGCTCAAAGATGGGATCATTTTCTTCTACAACACATGGACCTTTTGTTCTTAGAACTTCTACAGTTAAACTGGAAAGCAACGCACAAAGACACTTACCTGAAAACAATGCTAAGACACATAGTAGATGTTTATAAGCTAGCTATCCAGACTTTTCTTGCCACAAGTCAGATTGTATAATCAGGTTTCATAATTACTTTAACATGTATTTTAATGGAAGAATGCAGCAAGAAATCATTATCCTACTCAGCCCATGCAAATAAATTTGCTTTTCCTATTTTATAAGATACAGTACAGACAGACATACTTAAATATCTTAAAAAAACACATTCAAGAAAATTATTTAGTGAAACAACAAGTGCCTCCCAATATCCTTTCAGAATACTGTCAAGTTCTTTTACCAGGACTGCTTCATCATTACATGTTGGCCTAAATCCCAGCTAATAATGTATTTGGGCAACTCAGTAATTTCATAATCTAATACTTTTAAAAAGCCATATTTTAAGTAGAGTTATTGAAAACACTGACGACTGAATAAAGAAGCAAGATGCAAAGCTGGAGCAAATCATACTGACAACTGAATAACAGTAAGCCAACACACGCAACCACTACATATGCAACTTAACAAAGTAAGTTAACTAAATAGAAGACATTTGGAAGTTTGAAAATATTCAGTATTCATTCACTGTAATAAAATATGCCATCTTCCTCTCTATCTCATTCTCCAAAAACATTTCTCATAGAGAAAGTTTGCCACTACTGAGATGGAGACAACTGCTCATATTTTGCCACTTATCCTAAGTCAGGATAGCTCAACTCTCAACACATAAATATACTCACATTTCCCCCATCCAAAGTAACTGTTCTCTATTCAGAAACTAAGCAGCAATGTAGTATATACCACCTGTGAGCCAGGCACAGAATTTGTTACCTTTCTTCATCCAGAATAATTGAACCATCTTCTGCTACTTTCACACGAGGAACTAGAAGGGGACCATCCTGACTCTCCTCCCCATTCTCTGCTGCTTCTTCCTCATCTTCCTCTTCATGATCAGGAGTACTTTTTTCTTCCTGTCTACAATTTTAAGACATCAAGGAAAAATATTACTCTTGCTAGTGTTTTGAATTGCTGCTCTGTATGCCAAACATTGAACAATTTAATGAACCATGCAGCAATGCAACCCACCCAGCAAGTTACCCAATATATAAACTCTGGAATCTGCTCTTCATTCTACTGTAAAATGGAGAAATTAAAAAATATAACATTGAAAGCAAAATGCTCCTTATCCACCTTCCCCTCCAAAATTACAATTCATTATAAATAAGGGCTGTGATATTGAAACAGTACGAGACCTGCACGGTTAGCATTACCACACAAACATGGTTTCTGCCAACATCAGAAAGCTTTTGGATTGTAAGTACTCCCCTCATGAACACTTACTCTTTCATTTGACCCGGTGCAGAATTTTTCTCTGTTCTCTTTTCTTCTGCCAGTGAAGACCTAGAATTTCATGTAAAGCTCCAGATGAATGTTTGTACAGGTAAACTTATTCTTCATTCCACAAAACCCACTTTTAGCGAATATAGGAACAACAAAAAAACAAAGTGTTTTTTTTCAATTCTTAGTACCACACCTAGACTTGAGTCTAACTGAACAACCAGCACTCCTTAATGAATTTTTCTCCTTTTTTTTTTTTTTTTTTTTGGTATAAGCAAGAATGAAGAAAGATATTTCAAGCAGTAATCCATTGTCAGGGTACAGGGAACATGAGAGCATTTGGTTCCTTACCTGCTTAAGTGTAAACGAAAAAATAACAGGGGAAAGTGTTAAATAAAACACAGATGCACACAAACATTAACAAGAAGGTGACAACAAACAATAACAGAAAACTGATCTGCTACTGAGAAGAAAAACAATTTAATTTTTTTCCTTTTTTTTTTTTTTTTTGGTATAAGCAAGAATGAAGAAAGATATTTCAAGCAGTAATCCATTGTCAGGGTACAGGGAACATGAGAGCATTTGGTTCCTTACCTGCTTAAGTGTAAACGAAAAAATAACAGGGGAAAGTGTTAAATAAAACACAGATGCACACAAACATTAACAAGAAGGTGACAACAAACAATAACAGAAAACTGATCTGCTACTGAGAAGAAAAACAGGATTTAAATAGCTGTGCTTATGTGACTGGTTTTGGTAGTTGAGAAAAAAGGCCCCACTCTCTGTGCAGCCAGCTGCATTAGTGTTCCCCCTGTATGTGCATCTCTGGGATGCACACTCAGCCTTGCTGCTGGTGAAACCTGTGAAGGGAACAGCAGCAACTACATCCATCCAGCTGCAGTAGATACCTCCTGGGTCTTGCAGTGCATTTTGCACTTCAGTATCCAGGAAGGGGAAATGTTTAGCTTCTTGTAGTCCACCAGATATGGCAGGCAGTCATAATTAAAAATTTAACAGGAGCAAGAACAAGACTTTAACAAGAGAAAGACTTTCTGTTATGCTGCATTAGTACAGAGATAAATCAACAGAGGGGATGTGGTCATGTTTCTATATTTTAATAAGTACATCAACCTCCATTCTCATTTCTGTATAAAAACTGAGTATATATGAAAACGTCTAGAGGCCTTTGGTACCATTGCAACAATGCTTAAATATGGAGTATTAGCACATATGCAGTATTCTCATTTTCATAATTATAAACTGGTAGAAAAAGAAAAATACTTTAACCTAAGGAGAGAGAAAAAGAGTCATACTTACTTCATAGGATTGTTTTCTGGTAGATAGTATATCAAGTCTCTCATGGTCATTTTAGAACGATCTGGTGGAGAACGTCCTTCAATTATTGGAGGCCTGTGTTTCAACTGTTTCCATATAAAAAGAAATAAACCTCTTAAATTCACCCTGAAAGTACTTAATATTTCACAAATTAATATTTTGCTTTTTTCATGAAGTACCCCATTTGGGGAGTTTTGTTGTTTCCGACCTCTGCCCCCAACAACTGAAGTTAAGTTTATCTTAAAAGCATTCCTTTGTCAGAGAGGACACCATAGACCCTTAAGTGACTTACCCTCTCAAAGAAATTCAATACTTGACACAAGTAAAAGTGAAAAGTTATTCAAAATCACAAAACTCAGTCAACAATCAAGTTGACAAGATATGAGAAACCACAAACCCCAAGCTTCTCACAGTATGCTTTCCCATTACATTATGAAATGTGAAACTCTTAAAATTGGAATGTTGACGATAAAACAATAGCATGTCTCATGCCAAAAAGGCTTGTGGTTCTAAACAAATGAAGATATTTTCTCCGGAAATCTGTATTATGAAGGAACAGAGCTACTACTGCTTATAAACAGGCTAAACCCATACAGAGTTATAACAGAATACTAGCATAAACAGAAAACGCTACTGTAAAAAGATAAGGTATGTTAGGTGAATCCCAAAGGGTGTCTTTGCCCTTCACAGATCTGCACAGCTCAACACAGGCCTACCATCCGCTCTTTCTTCAGCTCTTCTTTAAGCATTTCTCTTAATTTCCGAGCTTTGAGGATCCTTTCACGGTCAGAACAGGTTCGTTTCTGTTTTGTAGGGGCAGGTTTCATAGGCAGCTTTTCTTCCTGTGTTCCTGATCTTCCCTGTGTTGGTCTCTCCTTGAGTGGAGAGGGTACATTCTTCTGCAAGGTATCATCATTTTTTTGAGCAGCTACACCTACAGTTTGCTCTCTGTTCACTGATTTTTTCAGTGGGGAAAACTGTGGCACTTGTGGCACAGGCGTTTTCTTTTCAGGCAGCATGGGAGACTTTAAAGAGCTTTCAACACTACTCCTTTCTGATGGAGAGGAATCCTTCTGAAGTGAAGCACTGCCATCAGGAACCTGTGATGCTCGCCTTTGCGGTTTTGATACAGAACGCTGAGAAGATGAAGGTCCAGCTCTGGGTTTGACAAGATTGGGCATGGTGGAGATACGTTTTCTTCTCTGCGTAGGCATCTCTGCAGGTTTACTAGCTTCTCCAGCATCATTTGAGCTATCAGCCTTGTCATCGCTGGAAAATTTAAAAGAGTATTCTGAGATATTTTACAGTGACAGATTTGTGACACTTATTTTCAAGATACATTTATGCCCTAATTAGTATAAATGTAGTGCTACAGAGAAATAAAGTTCTATACAAACAGCCACACTAGAGTCAACCTGTATCTGCAATTTCTTCATAAACTAATCAGCTATAAGAATTGGTGTATTATTTTCTAATATTAATCACCATCGATCAATTTTACTGCTACAAGCTAGTTGACCAATAAGGCTAACCTCACATGTTTCTTCCCCACCCCCTTGGTATTTTGGAACATTCTCTACTTTCAGTTGAGAATACCAAACATGAAAATACAACAAAGCTTTTTAAAAAATAACCCACATAACACAGGTGACATATTAAAAGCATTTAATAAAGCCACATGCAAGAAGTGGTTTGATGAACATTCCTTTTATACGTTTGCAAGTAGATATGTAAACTGTGAATTCCAAAAAAACCTCAGGAGTGAAATGGGCTGCTGTAATTCTACTGCTCACACTTACCACACCAGAAGTAGCCTTTGAGAGGCAACAACTTTTAGCTTCCCTGGAACGCTTTCTATGTAAGTATTTTTTCCATCCCTTACACAGAAAAAATTTTCAAAGTGCAGGCAAAATAGCCAACCATTACGATCTTCCTAAATCTGCAGACTCGTCCAGTGTTTGGCTCCTTGGTTGTTGCTCACACTAAGACTGCAGCAGAATTAAAACTGAGTCATAAAGAAGTTTTTCAGTTTTACATTGGAACCATGCCTTGCTTCTGTGCGTAAGGACAACCACACCCATGGTTCACCTAGCCATCTTCAAAAACAGTCAGAAGCAAATGCTGCTGAAAGAATATAAGAAAAGCATAAACATACAGTAAAACTTTTCCAGATCCTCTCCAACTACTCTCTGTGATTCAGGCAAACGCTATAGATGATGTTTTTGTATTTAACAGCCTCACAGACTTTTCTGAATCAATTTGTCCCACGCTATGAGTTCATATACATTTTTATTACACAGGACATCCCAGCAAGGAGTTCAGCAGCCTTACTACGTGATGCTTGTCTGTGTGTTTTGAATGAGATTCATGCAAGTACCATTCAACATCCTCTGGGTTTTGTACAGCAAGATACAGTGAAAAATAATTAGTTCATCTTGTCCATACCACCTGTGTTTTGTGGAGTTTGTAATCAGCACCAGACCAGATTTCTCAATAGTTCAATACAATTTAGCAGAAATTGTATTTACAAAAAAACACATCTTATGTTCAGAGAATTTTAACTTCCCTGAAGTGAAGCCTATTCTGCATTTAGAACACAAAACAAAGGAAAGCAACTGACACTACGGAGACACAGGTTTGAGCAGCTATAAAGGAATGCCTTAGGTTGGAAGGATAAACATTCAAGATATTCTCACATTTGCCTTTACCTCTCCTCCAGACCACAAAACAAACACATTGTGCTGTATGCCACCAATTACTGTGCTCAGGAAATCAAGTTGTGTAACCGCCCTCAAAATCCACTCTTCCTGAACCTCTAGAGACAAGGCAGCCAATCTTTAAAGTGCATCATCTAGAGAGACAGCTCTCCAAGCAGCTAATACTGCAATAAATCCCTTGCCCTGCTCTATTTGGTGCCTATACACCTTCAAGAGCAACCAAAAACTTTAAAAAACAGCTATTCAGTGGAATTTAGGCTGACCAAATGGAAGCAAGAAGGGAGAAGCTCCCACCTGCGCCTCTTCTACTTGTTCCCTGGACTAAAAGTCCCCTGAGAGTCTCCCAGAATTTTTATGCTGCATACTACCTCCTCTCTCCAGGTGAGCTGTGAAACTCAACACAGAACTGCAGTGGTCCGTGTGTCTCTTCTTATAAGTGTATCATTTTCCAAACCTGTACTTCTCCAAAGAAGCTCTTTCCTAGCCACATCCCACACATTTCATTGCATTGGCAAACTGAAGAGGTCTGTATATTCAACGTGAACAACTTCCACCAGAAACAGTCTTAAATTTCTTACAACTACTCTACTTTTGTTTAAAACAGCAGGATATGGTTTTGTGGATTTGGTGCGCTTGGATATTTCCTGCATTTATTGAGGAAAGTATTTTATGAGCCTGTTACTTACATGGCAAGGATCTATTTTTCAAGACACATGACTAGATCCTTCAGAATAGTCTCCTTTTCAGAATGGCATTCATGTCTAATTTTGAAACTTACAATTAGATTAGACCAAAGAACCCATTAAATTACATTAAAAAAAAAACTTTAATAAATCGGCTGAGTCAGCAACAGTTCCACATAATTGAAAAATAGCAACCTATCACCATTTAAGAAAAAAAGTATTGGATAACAAAAGATCCAGTAACCTGATCTCTGTGATGCATAGATTTTATAAATAAAATTTGAAAAAAACCCATCCTTACAGCACAACGCAAAACAAGCTTAAGTATAAAAGATGTAAGACACAAGTTGAATAAAAGGCAGCATGGATTTACTAAAGACATGCCATGCCAACTAGCCCGATACCTGAATTTCTAGTCACCTTATATTATGTCATAACAGACAAGTCTCAACTGAAAGAACTGAGGTACTCATGCAAGATTCAATCCCAGCTAATTAAAAGACCTGAGAAGGATGTTCTGAAGAGCAATTATCAGACTGAGGAAACGTCCTGAAGAACTCATCTGTACTGCTTTTGGCAGGGACAGAGTTAACTTTCTTCACAGTAGCTGATATGGTGCTATCTTGATGGCACACCCATCTTTCAGCTATTGCTGAGCAGCACTTACACAGCATCAAAGCCTTTTCTTGATCTGCCCTGTCAGTGAGTGGGCTGGGGCCACAAGAAGTTAGGAGGGGACACAGACGGGTCAGCTGACCCCAAATGACCAAAGGGATATTCCATGCCACTTGGTATCGTGCTCAGTAATAAAAGCTGGATGAAGAAGGAAGAAAGGAGGATGTTCAGAGGGACAGTGTTTGTCTCCCCAAGTAACCACTATGTGCATGAAGCCCTGCCTTCCTGGAGATGGCTGAACACTTGCCTGCTGATGTGAAGTTGTGAATGAATTAATGATTTTGCTTTGCTTGTGCAAAGACCTATTAACTGTCTTTATCTCAAAGCATGAGTTTTTGCACTTTTGCCCTTCCAATTCTCTGCCCATCCAACCAGGGGAGAGCAAGCAAGCAGCAAGTGTGGTGCTCTGCAGCCATCTGGGGTTAAGCTGCAACAGGGAAGTCCTGAAGGACTAGTCCTAGGACCAACCTTACCATGCATTTCCTCTGCAATAGAAAGCACTTAAAAAAATTAAGCCATCAAAAAGGAAAAAGCCAGAAAGTTTTCCCTTGCTAATGCAGGAAGAAGTGAATATGAAACAGGAAGCAATATAAGCGCAAAATCAAAGTCCTTCAGTTGCAGAGTGCTAAGAATTTTTGCTGTAGACAGCAGACTGGAGCTCCCTACTGCTGCAGTGCCAGAAAAACCGAGTATGGGACCACACTAGGCCCCTCCTTTGCGGTCTCCACTTATATATTATTTCAAGCACCTGCAGAGCAACCGCAGTAAAGAAATGCAGTTTTTGCTTAGGCTGCAAATGCGTCAAACACGTCATTGTCCGATGGCCGCACACAGAGCTGCCAGCAGGCACCGGCCGGGGGGGCAGCCCAGCACCTCAATTCCAGGAGGTCTTCCAGACGAGACGACTCCGAACCACAGCAGGGACAAGCAAGAGGTGACAGACCGTGACTAACAAGCGTTACCGGGGAGCCTGCCACCACCACATCCCCGGGGGCTTCCCAAGAGCGGCGGGGACGGGTCCCCATCCCTTCACAACTCCCGGCGATCCACGACCGGGCGGTGCGAGTGGCCCGGGCTGGGCTCCCCACACCCTGGGCTACCACGGGGCCCCAGCGGGACTCACCTCTCGGCCCGCGAGGTCTCGGCCGCCGCCGCCGCCGC